TGCCTAAATTTTACGTCTTTTTTCTCCTTGTCTTTTGTTTGGGATTTTATGTCTTGATTTGACCTATGCTCAGTACATACGGATGCGGAGTACATACTAGTACGATCCGCGGTCAGTACGAACAATTTGAACAAACAACAATAGGGCCCCCGCACAGTTGGTATGTCCCGGGCCCCCCACAAGGTTAATCCAGCACTGGATAACGTACCTAAAGGTTCGGGACTTTCAGACTATTCTAGCCACGGCTATGGTTGTAAAAATCGTTGTCGTTGTTGCTAGGATTAAACAAGGCGAACCTTCGTTGTCTTTAATATAGTTCGTTTGGAGAAACATTGTTGTACCAGTGGTCTTTGATAGCGGTCGGTTGGAGAAACCTAGGGTTACTCAAGACTGTCACAGTGGTCTTTGATCGAAGGCTACCCCATAGATATGTAATCGGACGTCGGTTAGCGAAGGGAAGGTTATGTCAACGAATTTTGGAAAGGTTTAGAATTCTATTTGACTGTTTCAGCAGTATTTGTTACAGAGGTCGGCTTCTAGGGCGTGATTGGCTTCGTAAACTGATGCTAAGGATGCTACGCTAGGGTTAATATGACCAGGTTTATGGTCTACATAAAATGTGGCTCTGTTTACTAACATCAAATAGTCCAGGCAAGATAGCAAAAGTGCGGGCAGTTGCTGCAATAGAAATGCCGATCGCGGTTTATGGTCGGTTTAGACGTATATTATGACCAAAAAAATGTCCCAGTCCGAAATCCGTGCCCAAATGGGTCAAATTGGCCAAAATCAATAATGGCCACCGCTTTTGGCTTGTAAATTCCAATTTCCACCCAATTATCACAATATGATCGAGTTTGGTATCAAAATATAGGTTTTCGGGTTAACTGAATCCATTTCCATACACATTTTTGTGATAAGTTTTACCACTGAGTCAATATTAGGGGTTATTCAAGATGGTGGTCAGTTTTGGCGGGAAAATTCGAATTTTACTGAAGGATCAAGTTTGGTGTAAAAATATATGTTTTCGGGGTAGCTGAATCTATTTTTGTACATATTTTAGTGATTAACTGATTGCCTGTGTCAATATAGGAGAAATTCCAATTTGGGATTTAGATTTCCGATTAGGAATTGGAGATTAATAATACTCCCACCTTAGACCTAATACAATGACTTTCATCCAGTATCAACTAAATTTCATTTGGAGTGTCTCCCAGTTCACTGCGGTAGCGGCATAGGGGTATGTCGACTGGGGTCACTCTCGGGTCACTGCGGAAGCTGGTCGTGCCTTTTGAAGCACGTGGCACAAAATGATTCAGATGTTGAGACACAGATGGATACAGTATCGCCTGTTTGTCAGATATGCAGTGAACCATTTAACAATGAACAACCCATAGTTATTGGTTAATGTTTTAAGGTTAATAAAGTGGAGGAGTCTGTATCAAGGTCTAGAGGGTCCGCGGTGGGAAAATTTATTTAAGCGGATCGTTGTCTTTTACATGGTCTGTAGGAAAGACTAGCAGACGGTCCATTACAACATATATAATCGATGACCGCTGTTACAACAGTAAACAGTAGAACTCGCAATGCCTATTTTTAGGACAAGCCAAGACAGTTCAAATGACGACTTGACATTAATCTAGTTGTATTTAATAAATCAGCATTGAGGCTGGTGTCCCTAAATAGATGACACTTATTAATTACTTGCACATCTAACTTATTTATAAAACATTTAGCACAGAAATTGTTCTTCACTCTGTGTAACCTAAGCCAACAATCTTAATTGCAGAGACATGCTGGCCAGGTAGTCAACCGCCTACCCTGCCCTCATAAATGCAAAAACAAAAGAAACTCGAAATGGTTGATAACGCTCGAATCCGATGAGATTTCCTAACAAGGTATTTGGGAGGGAGCGGGGGTGGCTATGTGCCCTCTTTTCCGAAAATGTGCCATCGAATATTGTGCCCCCTTTTTCTGCTGCCCTTCCCTTGTTCCAACTAACTCCAGAGATACTACAATGTCCGATTTTTATTGATGATGACCATGATTTCCACGGATGACTTCCAGAATAGATTTTACAGACGGATTAATAGTTCCATAATATTCAGAATCAACTAATGTGTCTTAGTTTTATTTAATTATTTAAATGAATTTAGGAAAATTGCAACACGGGCGACGTGAACCATTATTGCGGGTTAGCATACTCAGACCCAATACGCTAACCGTCACAACGAACTCTAATGACAATTAATCTGTCACCAGTAACTTCCTTGGCCTGGCTTAAGGGAAATTTTGCCCGGGCAGCGGTACTATGGCCTACATGTGTACACAGATCCTCGGTTTTTCGTCCCATCCGAACGACTAGACAGATGTCCTTGTCAGGCCTTCCGTCCTGCATCACTGACAAGGAAAAACCATGTCGGAAAATCCTGATGAACTCTCTCGACCAATTTAGGGATACTTTCGCGAAGGGGTAATTAGCGGCGGGAAGAAAACTTAGGAAACCTAGAGAAAACCACCGAGATGGGAGTCCACCTTACATCTTGGCACGTACTCAATGGCAGAACTTATGATGTAAAGCGCTCGTGTTGGACCACTCGATCACCCAACCGACCTTGAGGCGGCTCAGTGTGTATGGGGTTACAAACTTGGACATGGTATGTTCGATCCCGGTGTTGACCGAAAAAACATTTGTAGGATTGTCCAGTCGTTCGGATGGAACCTAGACCCTCTTGTGATAGTGCTTGGTGGAATGTAAAGATAGATTGCCAGGCAACAAAACATACGCCCACAGCAGCTAAATTTTCCGAGCGGTCGTCAAGGGTTGTCACATATTTATTCCTTTGTAGGTAATTGGGGGCCTTTACAAGACAGTTCTATACACATCAGATTATAAATTTTGTCGTTTGAGGGTTTACATGGTTCTACAAACCGAAACAAGGGTCTCAACTCTGGAAGTAATCTACAGAAATTGTTGAAATTTGACAACCTTTTTCGTTTTACTAATTTAAATAATGCATATAAATTTCATACAGATCACATGATTGAGCATTAACAAGGTTTAACAAAGTGAAACAAGGGCAATAACTCTAGAAGTAATTGCTGAAATTCAATAGGCTTTTTCGTTTCACTAATTTAAATCATGCATATAAATTTCACAAAGATCGGGTGATAACTTTTGACGTTAGAGCGTTCACAGGGATCAATAAAGTGAAACAAGGGCCATAACTCTAGACGTAATAAACGGAAATTGCTGAAATTCAATAGGCTTCTCTGTTTCACTAATCTAAATAATGCATATAAATTTCATACAGATCGGTTGATAACTTTTGACGTTAGAGCTTTCACAAGGATTAATAAAGTGAAACAAGGGCCATAACTCTAGACGTAATAAACGGAAATTAACGAAATTTAATAGGCTTCTTCGTTTCACTAATTTAAATAATGCATGTAAATTTCAGAAAGATCGGATGGTAACTTTTGGTGTTAGAGCGTTCGAAAGGTTCAATAAAGTGAAACAAGGGCCATAACTCTAAACGTAATAAACGGAAATTGCTGAAATTCAATAGGATTCTTCGTCTTACTAATTTAAATAATGCATATAATTTTCAGAAAGATCGAATGATAAACTTTGACGTTAGAGCGTTCACAAGGATCAATAAAGTGAAACAAGGGCTATAACTCTAGACGTAATAAACGGAAATTGCTGAAATTCAATAGGCTTCTTCGTTTCAGTAACCTAAATATTGCATATAAATTTCACAAAGATCGTATGTTAACTTTTGGCATTAGAGCGTTCACAAGGTTGAACAAAGTGAAACAAGGGCCATAACTCTAGACGTAATAAACGGAAATTATTGAAATTAAATAGGCTTCTTCATCTCACTAATGAAAACAACATATATCAATTTTAAAACAATTGGATGATAACTATTGGCGTTAGAGCGTTCACAAGAAATTGTAGACGATGGACGGACCGACGGACCGACAGACGGACGGACGGGGGCGACGGCAATATACGTCCACATTTCAATGTGGGCGTATAAAAACCTATTAACAGTTTTGATTGGACAAAGAGTAGTTGAATACGTTGCTGTCCTCATAGCTTCACGATTGTACAATGATTATATGGAATCATACTGGGATTAGCTGAGTAGTAGGCCTACGTGTTTACTGCTTCTAGAACACCTGATACCATCTCCCATTATTTTGAGTAGATCAGGTGGTTGATGCAGTCACAAGCAAAGCACCACAGGTGCGAGCTTAATAGGGTGTCGGAAGGCATTTCCTGGACATTGGGGGAACATTTTGCAGAATTCTGATGGTCAAAAAACACTTAGGAGTAATCCAAGACAGTAAATATAACAAACTGACATTGTAGAAAATGGCTGTTCTTCACATCAGTGCCCCCACCTTGTTTTGTTTTGGCTTGTTTTTTCTGTATGTTAAAGGAGCTAAGTCGCTAATATTTTGGACCTAGAAATTGACACAAATGGGTCGCAACACATACAATAATGTAATATGAATGTATATAAATTGATTTACATTCAATCGTTTCTGTTTTTACTGTAATTTTTAATCAGTTATGTTCGGCAAAATACGCCAGTATTCTCAATCGAATTTCAAACTCTAGCGTCTGGTTATTCCAGTCTACGCCGATATTATTTATTGGGCTTGCTCTCCAGATAAGAATATAGCGTTACCGTTTGACATGACTTGTGGAATATGCCTAGCCTCGTTTTTCGAGTCCCCTTATTACAAATAGCGCTGAAACGCATTATGGTACACGATTCGTGTACCAATTGTAAAATGTTTATTTTGTCTTAAATATTGGATATCAGAAGGCCATCTTTTCCCGGTAAGATCACAACATCAATGTTGATTTAAACCGACAAATAAATCGTGTTTTCAATGTCGAAGATTTTGGATGATATTGAGTTAGAGACTTAGCTACTTTAATATTATTCCGAATTCATACAGTTGTCAAAATGTTTTGTGATATTAAAACTGCAAACTACATTTTATTACAACCGTCTTTAATTTACAATATTGTTTCATTTACAACATCATTAAAACTGAAATATCTGATTTACAAATAATTGCACAATATTTTAATCACAATTCCATAGTTATAGCTTCCAATGATGTTCACGTAGACAGTTATTTTATTTTTGACTTTGCAAAGTACTAATTTAATTCATCAGCTTTACAATATTGTTGACTACAAAATTACTGAACTTATAAATTGTTGTTGACATTACAAATAAACTTTGTTTATCAAGTTTATCCACTTTACAAAGTTGTCTTTACAATGTTCTTGACATTATAATATTAAAATTACAACAAATGATGTGGGAATTACAAAAGGAAACTACTGGTATAGGATAGAAATATAAAGAAGATAGAAATATAAAGAAGGCACAAATATATATAATATTAACAATTATAACATCATAATAATATATAACATATATTGAGTAGTAAGAATAGGGCATATAAACATAATGTATTAATTTACATAGTAGTTGTCTTGAACATCAAGTCATGTGTTATCTTTAACATCCAGTCAATGTATCATCCTATCTTTTTGAAATGGGTTTTAGAATACAGGGATCATAATTTAAGGATGTGGTCATTTCATTGGTTTAGAGTTAAAATCCTAGTACAAAGTTTAGCTGTTAGCCAATGAAAAGGCTGCTCTCTTAAAAAGTTTTAGTTTATCTTAACCCAAAAAATCTACAAACTCTCCCAATAACACCATGTAATTAATCTTATTCTATTTCAGCGGATTTTCTTGACCTCATTAAAATTAGGATCTGAGACAATGACGACTTAAGATTAAACTTCAGACCAGTGTTCAAGACAACTAAGGTTTGACTTGGAGATATCAAAATCTGTGCAGTCGTACCCACTTTTTAGGTTTATGTCCGTCGTTATAGAAAAACAACATCATGAAAAACCCATTTTTGTTAATTTCAAACATAACTTACCCATTATGCACACAACCGAATTTAAACATTCCTTGGGTTATTTCCTATTAAATTTTTAATTAAATATCCAACCCTTATTTTGGAGGATTTCTAAAGGGATCCTTTCTCAAGCCAACATACATATAACATGCATAGTGACACCAATTTTAAATCCTGAGGAGTTGTATCAAAAAACAACTATCATTAATTTGTTTTATGCTGTTGAGTTCACATTATAAGGATAACCCTTGTATATTGCTATCGTTATGTAAGTTATCTTAACAAATAATATATTTATATGGAATCGGTTACAGCCATCCTATCGTCTTTCCATGAGATTTTTTAAATCTTGGAAATCATTCGACAGAAGTCAGAAAAACCATTTCCATAATTCCTAAAAATTTTGCTATGACCAGTATTAACCGCGAATATGGAATGTGGATAAGTTTAAGTTTGAATAGTATAAATATAGTATAAATAATAAAAAATGCTGTGAAACACAAAATTTTAGCGCCATACATTAATTGACAACAAGTCGATATTGGATAGAAGTACAATTCTACATTCAATTACAAGTAGATACATATATATATATATATATACACAATGGGCTAATAGGTGAACAACACATTACAAAATATATTATTTCAAATACCACACAATGTAATCACTTCCTAGTCCTGATATGGTAAAATATTACAGAGAATTGTACTATATAATATTATCTGATAATGGGATAGTATTGGATTTTTAATAATAGGTAGCCACTGTTGACACTGTCCCAGCTATGTAAGATATTCAAAGGGAGGTAATTCTGTTTTTTAATATGATATTTGCTATTAATATATAACATGCTAGCTTATACAGATATTGTTGTGTGGTTTATGTTTTAATAAAGTAAACAAAGTCCACATTCAATTGACTGCTTAAATGGCATCATATCACATAACTAAAGTTAATCATAAGTAAATATGATCATGTCTAAAAAACTTAATTAACCATTTAATATATAAAGGGCTACTTTTCCAGGTCGATTTGGGCAAAAAACAAAGACTGCCAGTTTAAACTGATTACCGCTTAATATTTCAATATGAAAATATATTCGGACATACATGTATGTTGTCCATTCACATCAACTCAATTCGTCACTTTAACCTAACCCCTTTAAACAGACATCACAAATCTGTAAAATAAGTCATCAAAGATCATAACTTCTCTGGCCCAATACTGTGGAGAGAAGGTATTATATGACATAGTGTACATGCAATACAATAAATGTGGTCTCTATATTATATCAAATCAATCAAAGACATGTCTGATGATTAATAAACACCCGGTACTGATTATAAACTGTATGTTTACTTATTAAAGTTATAAACGTACTAATAATAGGCTGTACATTTGGTATTTACTAAGATGTAAAGCTAGTAATAAGCTGTACATTAAGATTAAGTAATAAAAACCCCAACATTTACTAATAAGTAGTATATTATGTTTTACGCTCACTAACAGTTGTAAAAATACTAAATAAGCTGTAAATTGACTAAGATTTACAAATAGTAATATACTTTACATTTAAAGATAGTAACAAGCTGTACATTTATCAAGATGTACAAAAATTAGTAAATACTACATTCACATGTACACACCAATTTGATTTTCTTTCCTCTGGATTTTCATGAATAAATAATTGAATCACGTGAAAGATGTTTTGTTTAAAATATCACAACTTAAAGGACCTAAATCTCTATTCTTTGGCAACTAGAAATGGGTCGAAACGAATATAATAATGTAATATGAATGCATATAAATTGATTTACATTCAATCTTTCTATTTATACTGTAATTTCTAATCAGTAATGTCCAAATTGAATGACAGTCTTTAGTGTCTGCTTATTCCAGTCTAGTATTCTCCCCTGTGGTATGTTTAGCCTCGTTCATCGAGTCACTTCATTACAAATGGTGCTTGACAGCATTCTGGCACGCAAATTTCATTTTATCTTAAATATTTGATATCAGAAGCACATCTTTTCACGGTAAGATAACAACATCAATGTTGATTTAAATTGACCAATAAGTGTTGTTTGTCATGTCGAAGATTGTGGATGATTTTGAGTTACAGATTTACCTCCTTTAAATATTTGGAACCAAATGCTTTTAAACAGCACAATCAAGTACTTTTGGTTTTTAAATAAGACTTTTTCCCGTATAAATAAGATGGAATTTTTTGACAGGTGTTCCCAGAAAATCAAATTGGTGTGGAGTAACATTATTATGATTCACATAAATGCCTCCACTGGATAATAAGATATACGTAATAAAATATACATATTAATAAATATTTACTAATAATGAAATGTAATATGAAAAAAAAAATTGAACAATTTACGACATATAAAATACAATATCTAAAGTTGATATTAAAGGCACAATAACATATGATGAGAAATATTCTCATTTTAAAACAAGATGTTTTGTTCTAATGCTGGACCAGCTACAGGACGTAACATAGTTGTTTAATTATTACATATCTTATTGTTTATTGGGAACCCTGGGCAAGATATCTGACTATGCCATTATTCGGACAATATCTCATTGTTCACAACTTAATCTGTGTGAAAATGTAAATTGAACTGTTAATTTTTGGATCGATATACCTTTTAGAGATTCAACTTGCCCAGTATTCTAGTTTGAAAAGGAACTCTAAATCCTTCAAATGACTGTGTCAGCAGCTTTAACTCCCAAAAGTTGTAATAGATGGAATACATTGCTTCTGTGAATGCGATGTAAAGAATATGTGCAGGAATCACAAAGAATTAAAGACCGTATTGGTGTTGCCAAAGTAAGGATGCAAGTTTAATTTATTAAGAAAATATGAAATATCAATAAAATATATAGATCTGTAAGAGTTTCAAAGGTAAAAAATATAAGAATGAAAGGTATAAAAATCAGGTCATTTTGAATTATAAAATAAGACTACCCCATAAATTATATATCAAAAAGATGATCAAAATCTGTCAATGTTTAATTATGTATTAAATTGATTGATTGAAAGATTTATGTCTATTTATTGGTTTTAAAACGAAACTAATGAAACAGATTTCTTTGTATTGAACTTCTGACCATGATATATTGAATCAGTGCAATAAACATGTTGCATACCATAAATAAATGTATAAATATTAATCAAAATGGGAAACTTCTCAAATAAACCATCTTCAACCCTGTTAAGTGTTAAAAGTAGAATAATATACACGTATTCACCCAAGATAAATAGCCTAGACAAAGAATTGAAACTTTTGATGCAACCACTGGGCACTGATCCAGGTCCACACAGAATAAATTGGTTGTGGATATCCCTGGCCAATTGGAATTTAAAAATCAGTTGCTCTACATGCAAAATTGTTGCCCTGATAACCATAGGTATAAAAGTTACGGCATGTGATCAAAGCATTGAGATCGTAAACCTCAATTCGTTTTCTTCTATTGAGTCGTCACAGGTGAACACATTGTAGTAGGCTACATTTTGCACTTAACACAGTGAAGATTTATAAAATGTTGAGGAAGAGCAACTAACAAATCTAATTACTATGATAGTATCAATTTCTATCAGTAGCATATATATATAAACAAATTTCTAAAAATAAATGGGGTTTACAAGCCTGGTTGAATAACAAATACTTAATAATTTCATACTGATAAGAAGGACTAATTTTTCATCCCACGGGAAGACTAGGTGCGCTTTCCACGCCACCCCTAACAAGTGAAGCCCAGATTTCAAAATTCTGATGGCATGGTTCTTCTCTGCCCACACATTGAAGTCCAGTGTCCTTATTGCTCGACAATCACAGCCCCACATTTTTATGGGATCAGAGCCAACATTTAAGGTTTGATACACTAGTTAACATCTAAACTCACAAAGTCCTGCATGTGTCTCGCGTTACAACAAACTATACATTAGCAAAGAGAATATACAGTATATGTAACTGAATGATGTATAAGATCTAAATAATAGAAAAGAAGGATAGAATAGGCTACATTATGATAAAGTTTCAATATCTATAATATATTCAAATGTAAAAATAAATATTGAATGGACTGAACTACCTTGGTACACATAATAAAAGGTAACTAATCTTAATGGCTACCGTCATACAAGTATTCCCCTTATTATATTATAATTACCGTAGGTAATTTTCTATTTTTAAAATCAATTCTGTCACAGATTGGTTAATTTCAGACAATTACTGGATTGGAATATTTATAAATCATCTTTAAAATTATCCAGACAAATTAATGTATTAAATGATGTGGTTTAATGTATTAATGAATTAATAATGATAGCATGACAAATATATTCTTGTAATCTTGTAACATTTATTAAAATATTATAAAGATGATTAAATGATTATGTTGTATCTGAAATATTCTAGCAGATAAAGAATTAATCACATGTCCACATCAATCTCTTTAATAATCTGTATTTCATTTTGTTTTCTATACAATAATTTTAAGGTAAATGGCAAAGTGAAACCTCCAAAAAAACAGAAATTAAATTAAGACCTAATATTAAGTCAATGAGGTGAAAAATATTCTTAAATACACGTATTTGAATAGATAAGTCTGCAGTGGAAAAACAAGTAGAAATTATTTATTTTGGCTAAACATGCAAGAAATACATTAAAAAAAGTGACTAAAGCATGAGACAAAATAGAGCATGATAATGAGATATTGTTCTCAATAAATTTATGTAAACCTAAAGCTAGCTGTGATATGAAATAATAGAAATTGCTTTAGGAATAAATCTTCATCATAAATTTTAATTAAAAACTATAAATTGCTTGTGATTATTATTCAATTAATTAGACAAAACAGAAAATAATGGCAATATATTATTGTTAGTGAATTTCCAAAATGGCATTTCTGGATATTCCCAAACATTTAAACATGAAAGGTATTCCAAATTGTAATAGAATTCCTAAAATGGAATAAGTGACGATAATATAACCTGTTTCGACGGATGGATGGAGTTTATTTGGCTTGTCAAGGTTAGCTAAATATGAAAAATATTGGACGCTACATTTTTGTAAAATTGTTTTACTAACAGCTAAAACAACTGTTCCAAGCACAAACCTTAAGAGTGACAGGATCAGCCATTGTAAAGATGGTGTCATAACATGATATGGTGTGGGCTTGGTGGGTAATGTTGACACACCCATCTGATAATTCAACCAAATCGCTGTGGAAAGTCCCATGTAAATGGCGACGATGCGAACACCAGATCCTTTAGCTATGTCTTTACCTTCTGCTGGATAACAAACCGTGCAGCTAGCCAACCCAATCATCCAGATAATGACGGGTGAAAGTGGATGCATCTGTAGAAAATTGTCGAAACCATCAACAACTGGCAGCGTTACTGCTATGATAAGCAGTGTATAAATGACACCAACACTTACATCCTGAAATTATAAAGTGAAAATTCGTTATTTTGACACTATCATGGTTTAACTTCAAAGAGAACAAAGGGATTGCCTTTAAGAAGAACCAACTAAAAAAATTTGTTTTCACTAATTATTATATTAAACATACATTATGCAAGAGCTAAATCTGCCTATTTCAGGTCTTTCTTTAGGCCTGAAATGTTATCTAAATTATTAATTAGACATTAATTAACCTATCCAGGCCATAATCAACTCTAAATGGCAGCGCTAGCCTGCGATCTTTAGTGGATTGTAATCCGATTTACTGCATAACTTTCCTTCTCGATTAAACGATTAAATGGATAAACGAGACCCTTGCTGTTTATCGTACTGACTTTAGTAATGATGACCGAGGCTTATGGGAAGTTCAGTCGTTTAGTTCTCAGTTCACTGTGGATCAATTTGAATGAAATTTTCACCAAATTGCCTTTACATTATCTAGTTTTTAACTATTATAGTGAGAACTGCCAACTCGTTACCGAATCTCCCATAATGTATCTTTAAGGCCAAAATTAAAGAGGAGAGAGAGAGAGAGAGAGAGAGAGAGAGAGAGAGAGAGAGATGGGGTTAAACAACCACTCAACAAAACTAGGTCATTTCAGGACTAACATATAGTTCAATTTTTTTTCAATAATTCGCATGCAAGTAGGGGTCATTAGCAGTGGGAAAAAACTGGAGAACCTGGAGGAAACCCACGAGGTTACAAAAATTTAAGGAAGACAATTCCATATTTTTTTGAACTCGTGTACTAATAGACCTGCTTCCGAAAAATTACAAATTTTACATTACAGGGTTTTAATAAAGGTGTTCTGAAGATGATCTGAGACTACTAGGTGAAGACAGTTTTAACAGTTCAGGTAAATAACATAATGTCATAATTAAATGTTAAAAAAAAGCATCGTATAATTAATGCAAAATCTTATCCAGTTCCTCTCAAACCTTTTAATAAAGGTGTTCTGAAGATGATCTGAGACTACTAGGTGAAGACAGTTTTAACAGTTCAGGTAAATAACATAATGTCATAATTAAATGTTAAAAAAAAGCATCGTATAATTAATGCAAAATCTTATCCAGTTCCTCTCAAACCTTTTGGACCAAAATTGCGCAAATACCTCGGAAAAAAACCTCTAAGACTTCACAGTGAATTTTCGCCTCAATTTTCCGCCAGGATTCCCTTAAAAACACAGTGTTTCCCTAGGAAAACCCTGTATTTCAAATAGAAGAAATGTGTGTATTTTGGTTTTTACAGGAATGATATTTATCTAGTCATGAAGTTATAAGAGAATTTATAAGTGTTTTTGTGACATCAAAGTTAAACTAACATCTGATTACTACTGATATTTCTAACATAAAAATTAATAGACAGATCCACCACTGTGAAGTCAAGATTAGCCTTGATTTGTCTCCATCCCTACATAATCAGTTTCTAATTATATTCAAAATAAATATTATAATCAGTTATTCAGTGAGAGATAACTCCATTCGATGTTATGATGATTCAGTATTTAATCAAATGTGTGCGATAAGTAAGTCACGTTGAGACAAAATTCAAAGTAAATAATGGCCTATAATTTAATTTATAATTAAAGAGAGATAACTCCATTCTGTTTTGATTATTCAATAGATAATCTAAATGGGTGATCTATGTGATAAATAAAGTACAAAGTTCACCATCTATTTCTGATTTATTACTCATTCTCACACTCATTATGGTAATAGAGGACACTGAATGACTATTTTACAAATATGAATGTTTTCAATTGAATATTTTCAAAATCTAGTTTTTTTATTCTTAAAAGATACATTATGCAAGATTTAGATAAAGAGCTGAACATTCTTGCCATAATAGCTCAAAAATAAATAATGTAAAATGAAAATATTAAAAATTTCATTCAAATTACCGTACTTCATTCTGAGCCAAGTTATCATTGTGTGTAGTTTTGACAAGATTTGTTCATTGTGGTAACCAGGACACTTCTGACTTAGCCTCACTTTCACATTTTTAAATTAAATTTTTAAATGGCGAACTGTTCTAATCTAGTTAAAATCTCGAGTATCTAATGCCACCGAGAGTTGATTACAGTCTTGTTTTGTTAATAGATGTCCAATTTATTATTAATAATTTCAGGCTTAAAGAAAGACCTGCAATAGGCAAATTTACCTCTTGCATAATGTATGTTTTAATTACAAAAACGTAATTTGTTATTTGTTACTGTCAAAGTTACATGTAGATACATATACACATTGATTGACAGGTCGAAAAATACTATTGATTTGTTGTAAACAACATTAACTAAAGCCGTTACAAACAATATGTGACCAAAGTTAAAACAATAAATTAATATCAAATTTGTAAATTGAAAGCAGAACTAAGAAATTCAAAAACACTGAACTGGAGAGCCTTTATATAGAAACTGTAAACTTAAGCACCGATGGACAGACAAACATCCATATTCAATTAGAGTAAGTCAGAAGACTTTAATGGAAGCCACACGAATACCAAACAGGCATTGTTATAAAGAAAGGGAGTTGTTGCATGCATTAATTTGCTACATACTGTACATTCACATGTAGATCAGTCAATGCTAACATGAGACCGTCCTACATCACTAACAAGAGGGAAATCAGACTCGAAAATCCATAAGAAGTAAGTGGGCCAACACCGCGATTGAAACCTCACACCTTAATAATGCAGAAAACACACCAATGGAAATTTTTTTTTATCTAGGTCCATATCTCACCACCATTTCTCTTCCATTATCCAAAAAATAAAGAGTTGCTGTTTTTTCTTGGTAAATGTATATTGAATGTCAGTAAATTTGGGTTTATTGCTAACTGACTCATTTTGAATATTTCATGATACATGTACTTACCAGTATGGAATGAACACCAAGATACAAGCGACTTAAACAAACAATGAGTGTCCATACAGGAATACAACCAACGGCCAACCAAAATGGAAACTGAAAAATATATATATATATATATTACATTTAGAGATAATAATAGATGGGTGTTAATAAATCAGAACATAAACTAAATTTGCTCATGTTCTAAAAAGGGAATAAAGGGTTTTTTGTTATTCTAAAGTCTAATCTTGTTTTGTTAGAGCTTTCAAAGGATTTTCTGTGTACCAAAATGAGTACATGTACTCCCTGTGACAGCATTGAATGTGTTACTGGGAACGAGATCAGAAAAGTCTCACTTCTTCTCAGTTTATGCCAAAATTGGTTCCCAGAATGTTGGACACCGATGTGGTAAGTCTCTAACTACATGGCCTTTAACGGGGTAAGCGGGTAATCTGGGAACTTTAATTCTCATATCAGGAAGCTGTGTTTTATTAGGTACATGTTTAGGTTTTTAATACCCATTTAACAAACGCTATTTTTATTACTGTATATCACCACGGTTATTTGTATTGCAGCCTTTCATTGGTTTGCACACTGGCATACATACAGAGTACCAGCCAATCTACAGTTTTAAAACACACAAGGAAGGGTTTAATTGTACCTGTAAAATTGTATCCATTATCGGTAATGGAAAGAGTGGATAAAAAATGTTCAACCTGATATTTTCATTCAGAAAATAAACCTAAAAGTCTCTGTATGACATTTGCAGTTTTCGGAAAAAGTGTTAATTTTTCACAGCTTATTACACTGTAAATTAAATCCAAATTTATTACTTAACATTTAATCAAGAGACCAAAATTCGCATATGGTGGATAGTTTCCGGGCTTGGATTCATTCAAATCAAAAAGGGGCTAATCAAAAGATTTTAGTGAAGATTAGGTGTGGTGCTAGGCTGCTAGCTAATTATGACCATATTCCATTGATACATGTATCTTTGAAAAAATAAACAGAATTTAACCATTTTTGGACTGATATTCCTCTAGAGATTCATCCTTTCAAAAGCTGTAGTTAAAGTTACAAATAATAATCTTCAGATAAGCTCACTAATTGTGTAATTGCCTGGTTGCCTAGCAATTATTATACATCCACCTTTCATCAGGTATTTGACAAAATCTGATAATTATCACAAAAAACAACAGCATTTTTTTTATTTGTAGCACCTGTCGATGTCAGATTAAAAGTCAATCAATCAGAAACTCTGTTCAAGGGTCCTCCAAGCCTGGAAATAAGGCAGCTGTCACAGACATTGTCAATCACAAATTTAGGCTTTAGCAGGGCTAAATCTATTTGTTAAGGCCAACTCAATTTTCGTCAAGGTCACTGAAATGTAAAAAAAAGGTTAGGGCATGTGATTGTTTGCGAGATTGTAGGTTAGGGTTACCGGAGGCATTGGGGCTAGGTCCAGAGTTAGGCTTAGGGTTGGGATTAGCGCTAGCTCTGTTTACATCTTGTGACCTGACCAAAATAGATCTAATCCTTTAGCAGACACAATTCACCTAGTGCCTGTCATTTTGCCCAGCACAGATAATTGTCCTGTATGATTTTCTTACTATTTTTAATACAAGTCCAACACTTCAGTTCAAAATGTCAGATACATATTCAATAGTGTCGGACATTTTTTTTTTCAGATCTGACGACAAATAAAATCGCTACTCATCAATATCAATAATACAATTCCTGAATATTGAGTTGTGCACTGTTAGTGTTACTGGTGCTGCTACATGTACCTTATCCAATAAGGTACCAATTATTAGAACCCAGACCAATCTAATCAAACTTTTTATCCAATTCATTCCACTATTAATTTTGGCTGTTCCACATGTAATATGTAGGATTAAACTGATTCTTAATCAATTCTCTGTTCTCTTTCAAGTCTTAACTCTAGTCACTGTTTAAAATCATTCTTCATAACAGACTATTCTACTTAGTTAAAAAAAGTCTTTAACAATGAACAGGCAGTAACTGCTTCTTAAAGGTGCATTATGGAAGATTATATAAAGAGCTGACAGTTCTCGCTATAATACTTTTACCGGGTAATAGTTAAAAAAAATAGATGATGAAAAGGGAATGTTTTAAAAATTTCAAATTACTTCATTCTGAGCCATGATGTCATTCTTAAAATAACATGCTACCATTGTTATGAAAATAAACAAAATCTTGACTATCCATTTTTGCGGTAAATCATTACCATCGTTGAACCTGCAGATCGAATTAACATCTGTTGAAAATCTAGACAACACAATGGCATCGAGAGCTGATTGTAGTATTGGTAAGTTAATTAATGTCTAATTAATAATTTATATAACATTTCAGACATAAAGAACGGGCCTGCAATAGGCAGAGAGAGAGAGAGAGAGAGAAATGGTGTTTATAGTCCACTCGACAAAAACCAGGTCACTTCGGGACCAACACATGGTTTAATTTTATTTCAATAATTCGCTTGCGCGTAGGGGTCTTTAGCAGTGGGAGTTAACCGGAGGACCCGGAGAAAACCCACGAGGTTGGACAGGCGACCCTACTCCTTGTCACGTACAACCGGGGATTCAAAACCACGCCAGTCAACTCAATGACAGACTTTATGATACAGCAACCACTCAGCCATCCAACCCCCCCTGCAATAGGCAGATTTAGCTCTTGCATAATGCCTGTTTAAATATTGACCAATATGTATGTTATTATATATAATCTCTGTGGTCGACATCTGTTATCTAATTAATTCAGCTGAAAAAAAGCAATGTTCTCCTGAATCAAGATGTACTTCTACTAAACTACACTTTCCATACTATCTATGTCAAATGTTCAATGCTAAATATGAAGGATTTTATCAATTTCTTAATAAATGGATCTACATGTATTGTCCACTTTGTGTCAATCCCTCACCCCATTTTGGATCTCTCTGTCTACAGGCCTGTGTCATGGTCAGTGAAACTACCGAGGAATCCTAAGTGTGAATTAGTAAGATTGTAGTCTACTGTTACATTTATCTCAAGTAGGCTATTGTGAAGTCAATCAAATCACCCTAGGGTGAAATATACATATATATACTTAAAATATAGATCTACAATGTATGTAACATCATCCTTTGATGTTGGCCTACCATTATTTCAAATTATGGTACTGGCAACATGCCAATCGTGCATTATTGAAATATTGATTTCAATCAAGTACAAGATACATGTAGTGTTTGTATTTTAAGTTGTTTAATGTTCTCGAGTAAGACATGGAGTAATATATTGAAACATCCTCATGCAGTATCAATATATTGCTTATTAATGTCTCGCTCTCGACCATTAAACCACGCAGACAGTCCTATTTTAAAGATGCATGTAAGAGCTAAGTTTGCATATTGCATTTTTTTTTTCTGGCTTCAAATGCTATACATAAAAATTATTATTTAGATACATGTATTTATTCAGCTCACAATGGTACATAGCAATCGTATTTGACAATGAAGACTATCTTTGAAAAACTCAGAATAAAGTAATTTGACAGAAATTTTCAATGTATTCATATTTCACATTAATCTTTTTTTGAACTAGCATAGCACGAACAGCCAGCTATTTATCTAAATCTTACATAATGCGTCTTTAAGGAAGTTTTTTTTTAATAATAGATTGTTGTAAGTAACTGTTAAAAAAAGTTTTTACAACTTCATGCGATATGTGATACTGCCATCTATACATATTTGACAGAATGAATGACTGAATTTGAAATAATATTAGATTTGTAAATCTAGAAATGCCTTTACTGGATATTAGAATAATTGTTCAAGGGTGGAGCATTGGTGGGCCGAGTGAGTATGGTGCTGTTCATGTACTAACCAGTAGGTCCTAATAAACATCCAGATTACCCCATCAAGAATCTACTGTGCAATATCTACTATATCACGCATGAGAGCTGTGCTGGCTCAGGGTATACGGCGCCGGCTTACTAACCAGGGGGTCTTGTATTCACTCAGGGTTTTGGCTGAGAAATTTACTGGGATACCGTACTGGGATTTCCTAGCATGGTTCTTCTTGTACCAAATACTTTAGTAACACTATCGGCCGATACAACTGATAAGTGTTATCATTCTAAAACATTCTTGAAGAGGCATTATGCAAGACATAAAGAAATTCAGTCCAATTACTTTATTCTGAGCAACATTATGAATGGCTACTTTTATTGGATTTCATAAGCGGATGCAATTAAATCTGTATTACTTTTAAATCCAAATAAGATTTCAAATAAGAATAGAAAGCTGGCAAGATAACTCAATTGTCAGTCCTTTTATTGTCAGCCGCCATGGGTGACGTCATATTAGCGTTTAAAGCAGATATGTCTATTGTCGAGCATTGTCCAATCTACTCAAAATCTACAAAGTCAAAGCCATTCAATAGACTAGAGACTTGATTTGGGGCATGTACATGTAAGTTGATAAAACACTCACCTCATATCGCTCTAAAAGCAAATATGCCATCATTATTGGCATGACAGTTCCAGCCATGGCATGTGTTGAAGGCAGCGAAAATTCCCTCAGATGATGGGTTTCAAGGTGGACGACCGGTGGTGACGGGGGACGTGGCACTTTAAGGTAATCTTTCGTGGCTTGACCAATAAACATTACTAATGTCCAAACAGATATGGTTTTTCTTGCCAAAACAGAATCCATGTTCCATAACAGGAAAGGATAAAAAGTAAGGTAAAAAAGTTCATCTCCTAAAAACGAGCCAAACATGGCTATGTAATAAGGTAACGCATATTTCACTTTGTATTCAGGCAGAACATTTTTAGTGCCATTACTGTGGACTGTTGGGCTACCATTTTTAACACCATTTAGCACAGTGATACCATTTTTTAATAAATTACCATTACAAGAATGGCCATTCGAATTCATATGTAGATTATTATTGACACTATTACTATTATTATGATATCCATTTTTATTATTCGAGTCTATTCCATTAAAATTAATATCTTTTATTTCATCCTTTTTAATAAATCCATTTGTATCCGCCTTTGATTTAGAAGAATAACCATTTTTAATACCATTTCTTGTTAGTCTACCTGAGCAGTGATTGGCATAAATCACATTGTAATCTGAAATGTCACGGACGTCGTGGGCGTGTCCGTTGTCACACCGTTTTCTAGTCAGCGTTTTAAGTCCACAAAATTCTTGAAAATGCTTCACATGTTTTGGGTCGCCCAGATTACGTAGAAAGTCCATTTTGAATTCCAATCTTGATTCCGAAAGCAGGCCGTCGCGTGAGTTGTGTGAGTCAGGAAACTACGTTTAATATCTACAAGTGGTTGTTAAAATTCCGGGTGTTATTTAGCGAAAATAGTTGTTGCCTAACCGGTTGTCCTGAGTTGCTGAAACATCAACCCAAGTTAAAGCGCATGTCACGTGATGTAAAAATAACAATGGAGTTACTTGCCCTTAACCAGTGAATAGAGAGGCCGAGATCAAATCAGCCGTCACTTTCTCATCCTTCACTAAGAATACTCACCCGTCACTAACTGCGAATCAAGCTGGCCGTCACTTACAAATTCGCTGGATGACCATGACTTCAGTGAAATCACGTGCTCGGTATGGGCTAATCCGAGCCTTCGATAAATGAAATGAATTGAAAGTAGTCTATTTTTAGTAACCCATTTCTTTGCTCAAAATAAAAATGCTTTTATCTCTTCTAAAGTATGTAATCATGAATGTGCCAGAAAATAACAAGTAGATTTAAAGAGCCATAGAAACCTTCTTTCCGGTGATATATGACACAATAACTGGAATTTCGTATTAAGACACGTATTTTGACATTAAACACTCGCCCCACCCCCACCACTATCTTTAATTCAGCCAGTGAAGGCTACCAAACCTGTATCAATTTTAATTTAAAACGTATATATGCATTCCGCCGAAAATATAATAAATAAATTTCAAGAGAGGATTAACTTTACTTTTCAGTATAGATCTACGAAATTTTAGATTAAGCCCCGCATTTTAATTTCAAATACCCCCCCCCCCCCCCCCCACACCTTTTCTTTCACTTTTCAAGGCAAGTAAATATAAATGTGCCAGAAAATTAATTACATATTTAAAAAGAGTAGTAAACGTGCTTTCTACTGATATGTAGCATGATATCTGGAATTTCGTATTAAGACCAGTATTTTTACTTTAAATACCCTCCCCCCATCATTTAATAGATTTTTGTACCGTTCGTCTTTGGTCACCTCTCAAGGCAAGTAAATATGAATGTGCCAGAAAATAATTTATATATTTGAAAAGAGAAATGAATTTGCTTTTCAGTGATATGTAACATGATATCTGGAATTTCGTATTAAGACCCGTATTTTTACTTTGAATACCCCACCCCCATCATTCAATAGAGTTTTGTTTCACTCGACTTTGATCATCTATAAAGGTAAGTAAATATAAATGTGCCAGAAAATTATTTATATATTTGAAAAGAGAAATGAATGTGCTTTTTGGTGATATGTAACATGATATCAGGAATTTCGTATTAAGACCCGTATGTTTACTTTAAATACCCCCCCCCCCCCCACATCATTTAATAGATTTTTGAACCGTTCGTTTTGATCACCTCTCAAGGTAAGTAAATATAAATGTGCCAGAAAATTATTTATATATTTGAAAAGAGAAATGAATGAACTTTTCAGTGATATGTAACATGATATCAGGAATTTCGTATTAAGACCCGTATGTTTACTTTAAATACCCCCCCCCCCCACATCATTTAATAGATTTTTGAACCGTTCGTTTTGATCACCTCTCAAGGCAAGTAAATATGAATGTGCCAGAAAATTATTTATATATTTAGAAAGAGCAGTGACCAGAAAATTATTTATATATTTGAAACGAGCAATGAACGTGCTTTCTACTGATATGTAGCATCATATCTGGAATTTCGTATTAACACCCGTAATTAGACATTGAATACCCCCCCCCCCCCACGTTATTACTTAAAAGAGTTCAGTATTATCCAATTTTGATAGTTTGTCAAGATAAGTAAATATAAATGTGCCATAAAATAATTTATATATTTGAAAAGAGCATTGAATTTGCTTTTCAGTGATATGTACCATGATATCTGGAATTTCGTATTAAGACCCGTATTTTTACTTTGAATACCCCTACCCCCATCATTCAATAGAGTTTTGTTTCGCTCGACTTTTATCATGTTCAAGGCTAGTAAATATAAATGTGCCAGAAAATTATTTATATATTTTAGAAGAGCAGTGACCGTGATTTCTGCTGATATGTAGCATGATATCTGGAATTTCGTATTAAGACCCGTATTTTTACTTTAAATATCCCCCCCCCCCCCAACATCATTTAATAGATTTTTGTACCGTTCGTCTTTGATCACCTCTCAAGGCAAGTACATATGAATGTGCCAGAAAATTATTTATATATTTGAAACGGGCAAAGAAATGGGTTACTAAAAATAGACTACTTCAATTCATTTTATTTATCGAAGGCTCGGATTAGCCCATACCGAGCACGTGATTTCACTGAAGTCATGGTCATCCAGCGAATTTGTAAGTGACGGCCAGCTTGATTCGCAGTTAGTGACGGGTGAGTATTCTTAGTGAAGGATGAGAAAGTGACGGCTGATTTGATCTCGGCATAGAGAGCATCCTCCAGGCGGGCTGAATCTAATTGTTAATGCCGGCTCAATTTTCGTCAAGGTCGCTGCGATGTAAATAAGGTTAGGGCACGTGGTTGTTGGCCAGATTGTAGGTTAGGGTAGGGTAGGGTAAGCTTAGAATGCTAGGTTCAGTATTAAGGTTAGCGCTAGCCCTGTTTGAGTGTTTACATCATCTCCTGACCTTTGACCAAACTTGAAGTTGGCCTTATCAATATCTAACCCTCCAGCTAGGCTTCCCGCCCGTTGATTTCACCATGACATTAACTTTAAACTTTAATGTTGATTCTCGGTCTCATTTTTTGACCGAATCTAACTTATTCATTAACAACCTTCATGTTATTGATTACTATCAATCTTAAAGGACCTAAGTCCGTTAACTCTCTAAATCCTCCAAAATCTTCGACATCGAAAACACGAATTATCGGTCAATTTAAATCAACATTGATGATGTAAACTTACCGGGAAAAGTTGAGATTCTGATATCCGATATTTAAGATAAAATAATGTTTTTAATATTGGTACACGAATCGTGTACCATAATGCGCTTCAGCCCCAGTTGTATTGAGAGACTCGAGGGACGAGGCTAGACACATTGCACCAAATCAAATGGAGTTATGTAGACTAGAATAACTAGACGCTAGAAATTTGCACTCGATTGAGATTGCTGACTTATTTCGCCGAACATAACTGATTTGAAATTGGAGTAAAAACGGAAACCATTAAATGTAAATCAGTTTATATACATTCATATTACACTATTATATGCGTTGCAACCCACTTTTGTGAATTTCTAGGTCCCAAATGTTAGCGATTTAGCTCCTTTATAACAGAGAAAAATGTTATTCAATATTGGGGAATATTTGGTGAGAGAGAGATTATAAAGAGGGAAGTGTCAGTGGAAGGAACTGGTAAATTTTAAAGGAGCTTTAACTTTAAACCGCTTTTATCTAAATGACATTGGGTTGATCTGAAGCTCGCTCAATACGATTATATTTTTGTTTTGAAGGATTAAGCGGAAGTCAGATTGTTTATTGATATTCTTAGGTGATCGAGCTAGGGCCTGAAAAGAGACAGCGCAAAATTGTCGTTTGGATTTTACGAAAAAACTGGATCTCGCGTACACATTCTAGGCCTAGGGTGTGTGAAAAAGAACCCTTAACAGCTAGAATTTGAAAAACAGATAGGTCATTTAGCGCCGTTTTTTGAGCAAAATTTGCCCCAAGCACACTGTATGGCGTCAGGCTCACGCCTGTCCTAATTAATACAGTGTACGCAATTTCATTTGTCTATTGACAATTTATTGTTCATCCCACAAAAAAGTTCACACGTACAATCCACAGACATCGACCAGTTTGTTTCACCAGAGATCAAAGGGGGTGTCACTTTAAAATGAGTCATAAACATGGGGGTCACTCGATTGTCTCTTTAAAGTTAAGTAGTCGTTGAATGTTCCTAATGCGGATTAGTAAAGCTTATATTGGTAGATTGTATTCAATCCCTACGTATATTATTACCGTACACTATATTATCCAAGGAAATAAGATTACAAAGACCCCCTCACTACCCAACACGTACGCTGGGAACAAGAGACCCCGTGGATATACGGGTAATCACAGATTTTTCTGACGGACGGATAAAGTGAAATAAAACTAATTAAGCCTACAGAACGTTTTGAGTGCCGTAATCCGATGACTTGGACATGGATCATTATTTGTTTCTTCAATCGAAATTTCTTTATATTGACTAATGGATATGTTTTTTTGTTTTAAAACATTTTGAAATCGGTGTTATAAACTTTGTTTAGCGCCAGTTTCATTTTTACGGGCATCATTATTATTTGTTTCATTATTTTTCTAAGAAGTGGACTTTTTGGTGTACGGTAAATGCAGCTGCAACAGTCTGATTGCTTGGTTGATTGGAATTCAGGTGGGCATAGAGTAGGATTTAGGACGAAAAACCTCATAAATATGACTATTAGACGACTTCAAGTTGCTGCGCCCACAGGCTGAATAGTAGGTAAAACGCTGTGCTTGTCTAATTTTCATAAATTGTCGGGTGTGTGTGTTGGGGGGGGGGGGTCCAGGAAGAAAAACTGGCATTTTTTTGTCGGCTATTTCAGCTTAGCCCCATATGTTGCCCGAGAACGCAGCGTAAAAATTAATATAAGACATTGTTAAAAAGCTGTGTTATTTTAAGGTCAATATACGTGCAGAAATAAATTACAGACTTACAGATGTTCATGAATCGTACACATTAGCACGTCATATGAATTAAGAATAATTAATTACGATATAATATACGATAATATCGTGGAGTGAGAATACTTCTCTGTGAAATATGCTATGATATAAGCTATACTTGAGGTGATAAGAATAATTAAACATACATTATGCAAGAGCTAATTCTGCCAATTGCAGGCCTTTCTTTAGGCCTCAAATGTTATCTAAATTATTAATTACACATTAATTAACTTAACCAGACCATAATCAACTCTCGATGGCATCGCTAGCCTGCGATATTTTCTGGATTAGAACCCTGTCTGCTGATTCTGATTAAATCAAAAAATGGATAGTCGAGACTATGTTTTTTCTTGTACCGACTTTAGTAATGGTGATCGGGGCTAGACCTAAAATTTAATCGCTAAATACTCGGTTCAGGGTGGACCAATTTGATTGAACTTTTCAGCAAATTCCCTTTACATTTTCTAGTTTTTAACTATTATAATCAGAACTACCAGCTCTTCATCTAATGTCCCATAATGTAGGCCCTATCTTTAATAAAGATGTAATACACGATGATATTAGTTACTTTACTGTTCTGATTTTTAAGTAGATCGAGACATTTGCCATCTAAGCTTCAAAAAGAGGGGTACTTGTCTACTTCACTTAGAAAAAACATTTAAAAGTTTTATGGCCATCAAATCTGATTAGTAAATAAAACATTTCTCTTTCGGCTATTATTCTAGATATATTTAATTGATGCCCGTTTTCCTGATTATGTCTACGGCACCTGTTACTACTGTTCGTCATGTGCATTATGCATATGGACAGTCTATTTGCTAATTACGTTATTTTACCGAGATTTCGTCTAATGGTTTGGATGCAGCTATGACGGGTGTGGCGCCAGGCAAGATAAGCGTACTCTTCCGGACACATGTTATCCGCACACTGTTCATCATGTATTTTGTACATGGTGAACAGTCCATTTGCAGATTACACAATTTTGCCGATGCCGTTTTTTTAGGACTTCGAATTTTGTCTAATGGTTTGGATTGTTCGTTCTTGGTTTTATTTTATTTGACGTCTTCAAGTGTAAACACGCTAATGTTAACGATATTAACGCCAAAAATAGTGCTTTACAACCCGATTTGGGAATGATTCCGTTTTAATGTTTAGGAATTTTAAATCTAGTATACACACGTGGTTTTTTTTTATGAACAATATTTTATTCAGACATGTATCTGAAAAGGGATTATGGAACAGGCATGGTTTATATTAGGATATATTAAACACCCGTCTCTGTCAGATATAAATACATGTAATTACTTTAACTCCTTTATTGTCTCGAAAAGCTACCCCCCCCCCCCCCAACACACACACACACACACACACACACACACACACACACACCCGTGTGCGCAATAACAATTGGTATTTAATGCAATGAACCCAATAGAGCCGTCTCTGTTCTTTCTGTAGTAAATTATCTCTTATTGTCATGCAAATATTTATATCATATATTCATGTTTATATTTATATTATATTATGTTTGTATTCGTGTTATTAGTGTATTTATATTATGTATCTTCATACATGTTGTTTGTATTGTATGTATTCCTGAATGTCCTTTTTGGTACTATAAATCTTAACGTATCTTTTAAAGCTAAAGCGATTTACATCATTTTTTAGAAATTGAATATCGCCCAGTTTTGGATAAGAAATATGTTTCTTGAAATAGTTTCAAGCATAAATCCACCGTGTGTTTATTACTGGAGAAACAAACTCACTTCTACCAAATTTCCATGCTTCTGCTGTCGAGTTTTAGGGTGTTCTCATAAAATGTACTTATGGCAGTTCTTTGTACTCGTTATATATCCTATCATTGAAGGCATGACTAAGCCTGGATGATAGTGTCTATGTTTATAATTCTGTCATTGAGAGGGCGCTGTATTACTTGTCTTGTCTTCAGCTTGACAAAAATCATTCCTTATTTTCTAGTCTTCGAGAAGATTCCTGAAAGTGAGAAGAAAACAGTCTTTTGGAAAATATTTGACTTGAACCGGTCTTTGAGTTTGCTTTTTGCGCTCTTTATAGACCACAAGTCAAGATGTTTGGAAGAGTCGACCCCAAAAAATCACAGTTTCTGGACTCCGCAAAAGCTGCCAGAGAAAATAGAGCCCAGGAAAGGGAAAGGGAATTAGCTGTTATTAAAATACAGGCTTACACAAGGAGTTTCTTATGTAGAACGAAAATAAAGAATTCAGTTAGATCTGAACTTGATAAATCATTAAAATTGCCTTTTGAAAATGAACAAGAAGAATATAAGCCTAGTCTGTCCCCGGCCCTAGAACTTTTCAAAGTTATCCGAAAATTTATGTTTATCTTCGACCAAAAAGTTGACAAGCAGAGATTTGAGTATCTTTGTCGTTATTTGCTACTTTCTGTGAAGTCTGATGATTTAAAACTTTCATATGTGGCTATCGGAATGACCAAACATGCCTTGCTGTGGATACAACAATTAAAAGACATTTTATGGAGGTGCTGTTTGTATTTAAAACAATTACGACCCGAGAATCATTGTGATTCAAACAGTATTAAGTTACTCCTAGGTACATTGATAACATTTACAAGCACAACCTCGTGGAAAATTCTGAAAGGAAAAACGGGAGAAACCTTTAATAGTGGCATGACCAAACTGTGTAATAATGTTATGGGTTATCTTAATACAAAGGGCCTGTACTCTGTGCTTGAAGTGCTACTAACAAAAGGCCTTGCAAGATGTAAACCTGTTTTTAACAAAAATACTTTATCTGCTATGATGACGCTAGCTTTACGCCCATTAATTGCAGCAAACTTTTCTGATAATCTTTTATCTGTCTTTTTGCTTCATATCTTATCAGTGCCCGCGCTCATCCACCATATTAGTGTCTTGTCACAAGAAACCCTTTCAATCCTTATAACCCACCGTATATTTAAAAGATGTCTCGATCTTATGACAAATGAACAGAGCACAAGAATCATTTTCAACTCTCTGGAAGGGAACTACGCTCTGTGTTTGATGGCGAATCTGATTCAGTTAGGATATTTAGAGATGGAGGGACTGGTGGAGAACACCCAAAATTTCATGTTTGTCATGATTCGATTATTGGAAAGTTGTAAAAAATATGTTTTGAGTAAACGATCAAACTTGACTCACTGGCATCCAGTCCTAGGATGGTTCTCACAATCCACCAATCAGAGTTTACACGAAGCAATGCATTTCGTTGTAAAACAACTTCAGCTCTTGTGGAGTGACAAAATGATTAAACTTCTATTTTTAGAACTGATTGAATATGTTGCGACAACACAAGCAGCCAATGAAATAAAATCGTCTCCGTCGAAAAATATTATTAAGAAGGCAATAGAAAAGGCATCATCGAAAAATGAAACACCTAAAATTAAGTTAAGTAGTTCTATGTCCACATCGACTTGCCTTCCCTGCACTTTATATCGAACCGCTCTACAGACGTTATCTCAGCTCAAAATGGACATTATCGGGGGATTGAGTTACAATGCGATGTTGTTGCCGAATTTATGGAGGTTTTTGTGTGATTTAGGACCGATGTGCGGAATGAAAATATTTCAGGACTTATTATCACAGACGCCAAATTCTACAATTCATCAGGTGTTTAGTTTATTGACTTTATTCTGCGAAACAGCGAGTCACTTATTAACAACATTAGATGACATCGAGATGTACGAACAACAGAGATTCTTAAAGATATCTGACTATGTTAAAATGAGTGAATTTTTAAATAATTTTGTGACGTGTGTATTGTGGCACGGTCTCATGGACTTGCAAACAGCATCAACGAGCGATGTTTATAATTCTTGTTGGGTTTTATTGATGATTTTACACGAGCGTGATGCCAGACGAGCGTTTACACCGAAAAATCACTGGTTAATTCGCGATGTGAAACCGAGTTTATTTATGTCCGAATTAGAAAGAGGAAGGAAGCCAGTTCAGTTCTTGATGCAAAAAGTTCCTCATATAATTCCTTTTAATGACAGAGTGGTATTATTCCGTAAATACATAGCCAAAGAAAGAGATGTGCTGGGAATAACAGAATCTGTTTGTGCATCCCCTCAGTCGACACTGATAACAGTCCATCGCAGTCGCATTGTCGAAGATGGATATCGACAATTAGCACAACTTCCTCCTAAAGCCATGAAGGGAATAATCCGTGTAAAGTTTATCAATGAGCAAGGTCTAGATGAAGCAGGTATCGATCAAGATGGTGTCTTTAAAGAATTCCTGGAAGAAACAATAACCAGAGTGTTCGATCCGTCGTTAAATCTGTTTAAAATAACGAGTGAACAGAAATTGTATCCGTCGTCAACTTCGTATATTCAGGATAACCATCTAGCGCTGTTTGAATTTGTGGGCAGTATGTTAGGAAAGGCAGTGTATGAAGGCATAATTGTGGATATACCATTCGCTTCGTTCTTTCTCACACAGATGTTAGGTCATCAACAGAGCTCTACCTACAGTTCTTTAGATGAGTTACCCTCCCTTGATCCAGAATTGGCTAAGAGTTTAAATTATATTAAACATTATGACAGCGATATTTCTGACTTAGAACTCACCTTCTCCTGTGATGAGGATTGTATGGGTAAAATAGAAACGCACGAACTGGTCCCTGGAGGAAGAGCGATTTCGGTCACAAATGAAAATAAAATACGCTACGTCCATTTGATGGCGCATTTCAGGATGTACCGACAGATTAAAGAGCAGACGTCTGCTTTTATACGAGGATTCAAAGCTGTGGTGAATAAAGACTGGCTTCACATGTTCTCCGCACCGGAGTTCCAAAAATTAATGTCCGGGGATAACACTGACATGGATATCGAAGATCTCCGTCGCCATACACAATATTACGGTGGATATCATAATAATCATCGTGTTATCAATTGGTTGTGGGATATCATCGACAAAGATTTCAAGGACAATGAAAGAAGTCTGTTTTTAAAATTCGTCACAAGTTGTTCTAAGCCCCCATTGCTTGGTTTTGCTAATTTGGAGCCGCCGTTTTCCATTCGATGTGTTGAGGTTAGTGATGATCAAGATACTGGGGATACTGTGGGAAGCGTTCTAAAGGGCTTTTTCAATATCAAGAAAAGGGATGCTGGAGGTCGTTTACCCACTTCGTCCACATGTTTCAATTTACTCAAATTACCTAATTACGGGAAAAAAAGTATATTGAAGGAAAAACTCAGATATGCCATCCATTCACATTCTGGTTTTGAAATTTCTTAACCAAGCCAATTTATTGAATTTATATATTGCGATAAATATAATATATTGTTGTTACATGTGCATGATCATGTTATATTGAGCAATTTTTTAAATACCGGTACCACAGTATATATTCAGATCTCACACAAGGTTTTAAATTTATGGAAAAAAAGTATATTGAAGGAAAAACTCAGATATGCCATCCATTCACATTCTGGTTTTGAAATTTCTTAACCAAGCCAATTTATTGAATTTATATATTGCGATAAATATAATATATTGTTGTTACATGTGCATGATCATGTTATATTGAGCAATTTTTTAAATACCGGTACCACAGTATATATTCAGATCTCACACAAGGTTTTAAATTTATAATAATTATTTAGCAATACAGTGTATCCACATACTTGTAGGTTTGCTTTTATCTATATATATATTTGTGACTGTCGTTTGTCTGTCTGTCTGTCTGTTCGGGGTTGGCGGCTACACTAGCTCTGCCCCGAGTCTGAAATTCGGGGTATAGGGGTAGCTCGGACCGGGGAGTAACATAGGCCAGGTGGCGTTAGTCTCCCACTTCCGGTTTCGGAGTTATGACCCCCGAGCGAAGTCTGTCTGTTCGGGGTTGGCGGCTACATCTGCCCCGAGTCTGAAATTTGGGGTATAGGGGTAGCTCGGACCGGGGAGTAACATAGGCCAGGTGGTGTTAGTCTACCACTTCCGGTTTCGGAGTTATGACCCCCGAGCGAAGTCTGTCTGTTCAGGGTTGGCGGCTACACTAGGTCTGCCTCGAGTCTGAAATTTGGGGTATAGGGGTAGCTCAGACCGGGGAGTAACATAGGCCACGCCCAGGTGGCGTTAGTCTACCACTTCCGGTTTCGGAGTTATGACCCCCGAGCGAAGCCGGTCTGTTCGGGGTTGGCGGCTACACTAGGTCTGCCCCGAGTCTGAAATTTTGGGTAAAGGGGTAGCTCGGACCGGGGAGTAACATAGGCAAGGTGGCGTTAGTCTACCACTTCTGGTTTCGGAGTTATGACCCCCGAGCGAAGCCGGGTATCCTGCTAGTAATCATATATTTTTATTTCTGCTTTTTATTGTTGTAGATAATTTTATGCTTTTATACATACATGTAGGCATACATTTTTAATTTTGAAAGTTGTGAATACAAAATAAAACTTGCCTTAAGATATGTCAACACCAATTTCTGCAGCAATTCTGAATGCAGCAATAAATGTAGCTGCCATAAAAGTGGTGAACAAAAAGTCAAATTCAGTTGCCAACACCTGTTCATGCCTTTAAACTTGTAAACACCACTTTCTGCAGCTGTATTATATAGGTGTCACGGTGTCATGATATTTTCAGTGCATTTTATTTTTATTAATAAACAGTGCTCAATGAATATAACATTTTCAAGGCTCTTGTTTCAGAACATTGCCAGTCAATATTCTACAGTAGAATCTGTATGAGCAGCCACTCCTATTCAGCGACATCTCCTTGTAAGCGGTCACGATAAATTCCCCCCGTAGAAATTCTGTTGTTTCATCTCTTTATTCAACGGTCACTCCTCTAACGCGGCCAGCGGTCACTATTTTACTAATAAATTCAACAAAACATAGCCCATTCAACGGCCATTGTTGAATGATATCATCTTGTCGTTCTTTGTAACACCCCCGCTAATCCCGTGAGTAGTAGTTAATTAACTGGACCCTCCACTGATCAGGTAAAAAGAAATGTAAAAATAACAATCAACCCGGGATTATCTGTTAATTAATCTTTTGTTTTATTAAACGACTAACCTGATCATTGTTTTCACGCGTAACGACACATTATTTGATACTGATTGAATAAAATAAAAGTACCGAGTTTTGTCACGATCATTTAGCATCTCTCTTAGCGCCTCCTATAATATTACATACAGAGTTACACCCCCTGTAAATAGGTCATGAAATTAGCGATGTTTTTTTTTGTCCATGTGCTTTTTTGATAAAATAAAATGAATTCATCGATTTTCTTCACAAAAATGGATAAATATTATGGAATGCATCACAATGGTAGACAGTAGTATCGAAGGTTGGTACAAAATGACAAGTTTACAGAAGTTATGTCCGAGATTTGAGTAAAGAATTTTCGTTCGGCGCAAGATTCAGCGACGGTCAAATTTACCGCTTCCAATGCATTCAAGCGTAATATTTAATTTATGTCAGCACAAAAAGCACCAAGATTTTATTAAAAGGCCACTCCCGTTAAGTTATGTCCGAGATTTGAGTAAAGAATTTTCGTTCGGCGCAAGATTCAGCGACGGCCAAATTTACCGCTTCCAAGCGTAATATTTAATTTAATATTTATGTCAGCACAAAAAGCAATGAGATTTTATTAAGAGGCCACTCCCGTTAAGCGGTCAGTTGTGAAAATTCCCATGGGTGGCTGCTTAATGCAGATTCTACTGTACATAAAAATAATTGCCATAAATTATAAACCAATTCCAATGTATTTTTATTGACTAATGAAGCTAGGTCTTATAGTAATGACAGTATTTGTCATTAAATCAGGGCTATACTATATACCGAAAAACTACCGGAAAACACCATGTTATACTGAATACCGGAAAAACACTAAATACCGGAAAACACCGGAAAAACACTAAATACCGGAAAACACACTAAATACCGGAAACCACCCTAAATAGGTAACCCGGAGAAGGGATATACTATAAACCGGAAACTAACCCTAACTCAAACCCAGGCACACAGAGGACCAGGCTCCCGGTTACCTATTTAGGGTGCCAGTCTCAGGGTTACCTATTTAGTGTGTTTTCCGGTATTTAGTGGTGTACCATTCAATAGTAACAATTTCAACACCTTAGTAGTGACAAAACATCTACTTAATGACCACTGCTTGATTACTAACAATTTAACTAACTAAAACACATTATGTATATAAACTGTTGTATATTTTCATTAGTGCATGTCAGCTTGGACATTTAGCAGAGAACTGTATACTATGAATTAAGAAAAGCACCATATGCATGTACACTGTACATACTTTATGAACTATATGTAGTAGAGCCATGGTTGCTCAGTGAGTATGTTGAAAACTGAGGTCCTCCCAGTGTACTCGTTGGATGCACTCGTTGCATGCACGTAGAACAAAGTTGAAATTTGATGAAGAGTAATGAGAAACACTGCTGTCAGGGTAAAATTTCTGGTATGGCCATCTTTGTTAGTCCAGTTGGTGCAGAAGAGTTAGATATTTAACTGGTAATAAGTACATGTCTGTACTGTAATAGTCTTCAATGTTTAGTATTCCCCGACAACCCCACTGGCACTTCTTCACTGCATGTAAATGAGAGAGAGAGAAATGGGGTTTTAGTCCACTCGACACAAACTAGGTCATTTCAGGACTAACACATGGTTAAATTTTATTTCAATAATTTGCTTGCTCTTAGGGGTCTTTAGCAGTGGGAGGAAACCGAAGGACCCGGAAAAAACCCACGTGGTTGGACAGGCAACCTTACTCCTTGTCACATACAACCAGGAATTTGAAACCATACCAGTTGACTCAATGACGGACCTTATGATACAACGTGCACATGCTAACCATTCGGACATCCATATCCCCTACATGTAAATAGTAGTTATTATAGAATGAACACCTTCTTTTGTTTATAAACAGTTACCCAAGGGACTCAAGGTCATAAAGGAGAAATATTTAATTAATTAATTCCAATACTAAATAATGAATAAATTGTTTAAAATAACAATAATTTTAGTCAGTTGGTGAGGAGGGCCAAATCTCATCACAGCTAGAGACTTCGGCCCTTATTCACGAAAACTTAAACTAAGATACAATCGAAATTTTAAGAAATACCGCAATTCGATTGGCTGACCAGTCAAATCAATTTGCATATATCCAATTTGCATATTGGTCAGCCAATCGAATTGCAGTATTTCTTAAAATTTCGATTGTATTATAGTTTAAGTTTTCGTGAATAAGGGCCCAGAAATACATGTATATAAATATCTCACGATCTGTGATACATGTGTATAGAATATAGTATAGATAGAGGTAATAATATACTTCACAAGTCAGTTGTTTGTCATATTATATATTATTATTATTACTGGTGATAATATGCCTGTGGGAAGATGTATTTATATCTGTAGTAATGTTACATAAATAATACTTGTTATTAATGATGTAGTTTATTTGTAAATTATTCCATATTGTATCAAATTTTATCTTGGGGTAAATTATTAAATGTCTACTTGAATTTTATTGTTGTTAAGAAATAATGGTTAATAATTACAGACTGATATCTTAGTTGTAAATACCACAGGTGCTTGTGAATTGAAAAGTCTCTGTCAAATATAACATTAAGCTGAGACTGTACATGTAAGTTCTATGTCTGAAGTCTTTTACATTCATAGTCATGTACAATGTAAAGGAGATAATCAAATTCAGGGGAAAAAAACTTGTCTGAAAAGAGCCTTGTCCAGTAAAAATATCAATTCTATTGCCATACTCTTTTTTGAGGTAGTCCAACGTTAAACTTTAGATCATGTGACATCCAATAAAAAGAAACAAAGCATAGTGAAAATCCATTATTTGTGTTTTCCAGTTGGATAACCATAAAAAAATGTAATGGAACAGTTTCTGATATTGTGGGTGGCGGAGTAAGTAGAGTGCTGTTTCACTAACCCGGTGGTCTGGGGTTTGGTCAAGAAACTTGTCAAAGTTCCTGGCAACGAACAGCATCCAATTATTTAGATGCTTGAAAAACAAAGGTCCTCTGTATACCATTGGGGAGCCACAGTGAGTAAGATGTCTGGTGTTTGTTCCCTGCATAGGCAGAGAAAATTCATCAGGATTTTCCCGGGTGGTTCCTCCTTGCCAGTGGTGCAGGATCGAGGGGCTGGCTAGAGACAATGTATAGTCGTTTGGATGGGACAAAAAAAATGAGGTCCCATGTACACATTGGCATGCACATAAAAGACCCCTTGACAGTTGGAATTTGATTTAAGAGTAGGCCGTAGCGTCCCTCATAGCAGACTGTGTGGCGTATGCCTGTTTTCATTATCCTTTGTATATAGCACACAAGTATGGAGGGAGAGAAATAGGGTTTAATCTTCACTCAATACAGACTAGATCAATTTGGGACTAACATGCTCTATTTTTATTTCAATAATTTTCTAGCGCTCAGGGTTCTTTATCAGTTGGAGGTAACAGGGGAACCAGGAGAAAACCGATCACACACATTGTTAGACCAAGCCGGATTTGATCATATCCAGTTAATATCATCCACAGAAGGTATTTGTCAATACTGAACCATTTCTAGGACTGATAGTCCTTTTAGAGATTTAACTTTCACAATAGTGTACAAGGGGTTAAAGATAGGTTGCCAGACAACTAAACACATGCCTATAGCAGCCAAATCATCCAAACAGTCAACAAGGGGTGTCACATATTTTTTCTTTTGTTGGTAATGAAAACATTTACAAAACACTAAAATCTGATAAAGAGTAACAACCCATGTAAGTAATAATCAGAAATCATTAGAATTGTTTGACTTTTAGTTCTGTCACATGCTAATGTTTAGTATAAAAAATGTTTAATATCATGAGTTTAGCTGTTCAAGCTGTCGAAAATCATCCAGGGCCATAACTCGAGCAATAATTATCAGAAACTGTTAAAGAAAAATCAATAAGCTTTGTCACCTCAGTACCATAAACACTATGGTTAAATTTAAAGTCAATCGGATGATAACTTTGGTCTGTAGCAGAAAATTCAAAGAGGTCAAGGGCTATAACTCTGGCAGTAATTATTGAATATCAGCTTCTTCCGCTCACAACATTAAATGCTGTGTGTGAATTTAAAGTCAATTGGGTGATAACTTTGGTAGGTAGAGCGAAAGATTTCTCAAAGAGGCCAAGGGCAGTAATCATTAGAAATTGTTGAAAATAGGCTTTTTCGTCTCGTGACCTTAAACAATGTGTACATACTTGAATATTAACTTTAGTCCCTAGAGCATCAACATGATTTTTCAAAAGAGGTCAAGGGCCACAACTCTGGCAGTAATTATCGGAAATCATTGAAAATCAACAGGCTTCTGAAACACTGTATAAATCTAAAGTCACTCAGATATTAACTTTAGCCTCTAGAGCCTCCACAAGATATTTCAAAGTGATCAAGGGTCATAACTCTGTGACAGTAATTATCGGAAATAGTTGAAAATCAATAGTCTTCTTCCTTTCTTGATCTTAACCACTGTGTATAAATTTCAAGTCATTTGAATATCAACTTGTGGATGACGGAGGGAGCAACAACAATAAAGACCAGATTTCAATGTGGGCTATAAAAATCACTCCAATGACAATGAGAGACTTTTAAAACAAAATAGTGCAAGTGCAAGTAATATATAGATCCTAATTAGTAGATAAGGTTTTCAATCACAACAACCAGTTTTTGCATAGTAATAACATTGTTTGTTTTTATTATCAATAACTACCTTGAACTTCATACAAATAACTGCCGGTATAAAAATCTGTCATGATAAGCTCTTTAAACATGAAAAATTAAATTTATAACTGTGACATGTAATGCTGAATTCCAATATTAAATTCTTTAAAGGCACAAGTGAGACTATAAACATAAAATCAAGTTAAAATTAGATTACAATTTCATGTCGGCTAATTTTTTTTCTTCAGAAATACTGGAGTTAGATGTTGTCTGAGACGGTCTTTTTATATCGCCCATCAATTGAACAAAGCCATTATCAAAGTCTAGCTTTAAATTAATACTTGTAACAAGGCAAGACAATGTCTTATCCAGTTTTAAATAAATAATACTCTGCAGTTAAATTAATCTCATGCAGCATAGAAGATTGTAAAAATAAATCTATTATGCATTTTCAAGTGAAGTGAACATTGGATGAACAAAGTATATATAATCAGTTTATTGCACAATATTTAAATAATATTGAGTCACTTTTTTGGTAAGTCTGTAATACACCTAGGTGTTTAATTTTGCTAAACACTATATCAATTGTAGCTTGGCATACCCCTTTGTCTGCTTCAGTTATCTGCCCTTAGTAATAGTCAAGATATATTTGACAAAATGCCATGTAAACATTTTTATAACAATCTCTTGTGGTTCTTTCTATCTAAAGCCAATCAAATCTTAAGTTTGGCCACAACATACATACAATAGAAATAGCCTAGGCTGACTTACCAGGGGTACATAGTTCTAATGAGAGCGGACCAGGGTACGGCTAGAATATGATAAAGAGTATTTTAAAATTACATGCAGAATGCATCAACTAATGGGTTATAATCAGGAAAGAGTATTTTGAAAATAATATTCATAAAATTACATACAGGTAAAACAAAAATCCAACATATAATATAAATAAATTTTAGTGGGCCTCTTTACTTCTCAGAAATGTTAAAAATTTATTTTAAAATGACAAAAACAATCTCATAAAAAAATATATTATTTTTAATACAATTTTATAGAAGCACTAATATTAATAGTATTCAAATTTAAAATTCACAAAAACTACAATAAAACAGTAAAATTTGGGAATTACCCATAAACTTGAAACTAAAACTTAATAATTCAGTTGAATTAGTTTGTAAAGGCAACGTGACTGAACTTTTTTTTAACATATACTTAAACTAAAATATTCTAGCAATGCAGCCCCTATAATTGGCACTTCAATGGATTAATGTTTAATCCTTGCTATAATTATTTATAAAGTCCCTAAGAGCAGCTCCCAGTTGAATTTTTGGGGCTATATAAATAACTAAAGCTAAGTCAATGAAAATTCTGAATCCTTAAATTATTTTAGTTCAGCTTTTTGGAATTTGGTCCTGGTATAAGATAAGATAAGATTTTATAGTATCAAACTTATGTTGTTAAAAATTTGATTCTGTAATCACTCTTGTACCACAAATATAAAAGATGAAACATTTAAATAATGAGCTGTAGAAATGAATTAACACCAGTTGTTTTTGAGTCTAGGTTGCTAGACAGTGGTGAGACGAGGTTCACCACACCCCACGTACAACCATTAGGTGTTGATGAAGACAAACTCGATATTTGAGCACCAGCTTTCAGTAATTGCCCTGAAGAAGAAAAATGGTTGAATTCCAATCAGTATTTATAAAGATATACATGTACACATAATGAATTGCAAATTTCTCATCCTCTGCCAAAGATATAAACATAAATATTTGTTAAAATCTTTTGATAGGTCTGTTTCTAGGGCCAGCTTAATGCATGGGTAAGCTGAACATTTGCCAGGGGGCCCCATGAGCATAGGGGCCCAATGCTAATCTATGTCTATTGTGACTTGCTGTCAATAAATTAATATTATACTAAATATATGGTTAATTCTATCGACAATTTACATTTTTATTCCTGTGAGTGGCTGCGTTAAGATGGCCTTGTCTGTTTGTCATAAAATCTGCTTGATCTAGGTAACACACTTCAATTCTAGTAAAGTGACTAGTCGTCCTAGTCTTTAAGAAAGGTTGAATAAAATTTCGAACACATTAGAAACTGTAGTATAAATGATTAGGTATTGTTTATCAATGAACCTGCAAACATTGAAAAATAATGTACCAAGGGAGGAAACTCCATTTATATACCCAATAACTACACAGAGTTCAATACATACCTGTGAGTTTAGGAAGCACTTCTTGATCATTACCAGCACTATATACAATAACTGGTCCTTGTAAAGCAGGGGGTATTGGGAAGGTTGAGTTCTGTATTTGGACAAGGACTGGAGATGTTCCAGATATTGATCCCGATAATACTACTGACTGGTTGCCACTGCCAACTGTCACAGAGATCAGATTGTCAAACGATAATGGAGATTTATTTTCAGCAGTAAATGAAACCTGGAAAAAAATTATAAAAGAAATCCCTATTGACAGAATTGTAATTCAGTGACATTTCTTATTTCATAGTGTATTAAATGTTAACCCATGAAAATAGAGAGTAGGGGCATGGGGGTGATTTTATCACAAGACAGGGGGGAATAAATAGTTTACAGATGTAGGGTTTTCAGATGATCAGGAGTAAGTCTTGTATACACATGTATGTGTATCTGTACAAAAATAAGACAGCTGACTTTGATGACAATATGATTAGGTTGTCTAAGGAAAAATTTGGCCAAGAAATGAGTCACTGTCAAAAAAGTTTAAGTAAATTGCGGCACTTGTTATCGCATCTATGATGTTCAGATTTGAAAAAATAGGTCAAAGAAGGTAGGAAAAGTAGGGCCCCTTCACCTGCTGCTACTTTATAGGTGATGGCAACAACAAATAAATAAATCATTTTACCTGTACACCTTTTTCTTTAGCTACAACAGGTGAGTTAACAAGGTTAAAGTTTACACCATTGTCTCCCACTGCTCTTGATTGTAAAAGTCCTGACAGGAATGCAGCTGGCAGATAAGATCCTCCATTTGAGAGTTCAGAACCTGTTAAAAGTAATTAAAATTTTAATAGAATGCAGTAGATTCTCAAAGACATGACTCAAAGTTCATTGCAAGATGGTTGTCAAATTTCCAAATGCAACAAAGATTGGGCAGAAGTTGGTTTGTATACTTGTTTTAGTTTCATTTTCAGCTTTAACTGTTGACGGCTAAAATTGATTATATATCAATCTTGGCATTTTATCTTACAGATGTAAATTTGGAACAAGAGAGATTGTCATTTTACAAAAAAAGAGAACTGTCAAGACGAAACCTACTGAAATAACACGGATGATCTTCAGAAGAAACCTAGTGAACTAATGTGGATGGATTGGTCATCAGGAGAAACCTAGTGAAAAAATGTGGATGGATTGGTCGTTAGGAGAAACCTAGTGAACAAATGTGGATGGATTGGTTGTTAGGAGAAACCTAGTGAACAAATGTGGATGGATTGATCATCAGGAGAAACTTAAGTGAACAAATGTGGATGGATTGTTTGTCAGGAGAAATCAAGTGAACTAATGTGGATGGTCGTGATAAGAAAACTAAAGAATGAATGTGGATTACTGTCAGGAGAAACTTATTAGGGCTCAATTTGATCTTACCGTAAGCTGTAAGTTTAATATTATCAGGTGTGGCTTCTTGTGATACGGCTGATGCTAATGACCCTAAACCTGCCGCCAATTGAACCCAAGGTTGGGTTTCACTACTTAAAGCATTGGTTAAAGCTGGGGCATTGATCTGTTAATAAAATAATATGATAAGTTAACCAAACATACACAAGATCATCTTCACAAGGTCACGGTGTAACGACATACGTCTTATACCATGGCCTTGAAAACACATGCCGAACACAGCGATGAAAACAGTTTTGAAAGATATAAGATACATAAATTGTGTTAAGATCAACAGCTCTATTTGTCACTTGTCCCAAGTTAGCATTTCACAGACTCTTCAATGAAATAATAGAAGAACCTTTCCAATGTCATCATATTGACATCAATATAAAAACCTATTTACATGGCTCACTTTACACAACCGATTTACACTACAAATTCTATTCTAACTTTATCTTGTTTTCAATTTTTAGTTGTAGGCTACTTAACAAAATATCGTGCAATAATAAAAAAAATGAAATGAAATGGGGTTTAACATCCTACTGTTCTGCTACGAATGGGCTAACAAAGAAGGGCATGTCATATAGTGTGTGCTATGAGGGAAATTTCCCTGGACAGCGGCTCTAGGGCCTACCCTTATATCGATTCCAAATGCCAAGGGATCTTTTACATGCACGCCAATTTGTACACAGGATCAATCTGATTAAAATACAGATCTATATTTCATTTCATTTTTTTATACTTTTGATAGCCTACACTACATGAAGATCTGACCGATTGAAACGTTGTGTCAGAGGTCAATCGAGCGACTTTTGACCCTATGATGTCAAACATTTGATTAACCAATCAGTGTTGATATTTCTAATGGGTTACCCACAGTTCCGTGCACCTCATGCCAAACTTCATGCCGTAACAGACCGTTTCATTGGCTAATTCCTCACATCATCCAGAACACGGGTTTGTTAACAACTCTTCCAGATCCTAGCGTAGTAAGACAAGTAAAATTTTTTGATCAGATTAACACAGAACCCCAGTTTTTCGTCACATTGTGCAATAATGAACTATATATAGTACATGTGTGCCTTATTTCCAGGATTGATGTAAGGATCCCATGAGAAACAATTACATCTTGAGAATTATAGTCTGGAGGCTCAGCGCGGGGGGAGTCCATCAAATGGGCACAAAACCAGACCCAACTTTTCTAGAGTAAAATTTTGCGTAGAATACGATGCCGAGTGGTAATCAGTCCGCCATTGGGGCGTTTTCGCTTTATATTTTATATTTTACGCCGACATTTATTACTTTAAATCTTCCTAGTGCTAAAACGGAAAATGTGACCTTTTGACCTCTGGGATCACAAAAAACAAAGGTGAATTTAGCAAGTTTACATTTTTATTGAAAGTGTGATTACTTTCGATCATTTTCAGCTTATTTTCATGATACAAAAATGGCCACACATTCACTTTCAGTGCAAATGAACTCATTTGGCATTTGACTCCGAATAACTTGAAAACGCCCTAACGGCGGACTGATTACCACTCGGCATCGTATTCTACGCAAAATTTTACTCTAGAAAAGTTGGGTCTGGGTTTGTGCCCATTTGACGGGCACCCCTCCGCGCTGAGCCTCCGGTCTATTACCCTTTTTTGCAAATATAGATCTGTATTTTAGGCAACACAAATAAAATAACTTGTTTCTCGGGCACCGCCCGCACGCAAAATTGGTTGCGCGTGCATTCTATTTATTAGTCTTGATGAAAAAAAATAAATATGTAACGCCCGCCCGCACATCGACAAGCAAGTCGTAAAAAAAATATCCCGCATGTACCTACATCCGCCATACATGTATATCTATTCAAATGTATTAAAACTGATTCAGATGAACATGCTGTCTTTTTTATCCGAACAATGGCGAAGTTTGGCAGATTTGCCTTTTTTATTGATATCGAAAGAACCTCCATTTTGTATCACGTGATATTAATTACCTCCCCTGAAAAACTAGAATTTGATTCGTGTTAAAAGTCATTGGCGACAATATTTCAATCATTCGATCGTAATCGGTTCATTATTGCCGGCTTCAGTCGGTCCTTGTTTGGAAAATCCTATTGATAAAATAATGAATCGTAGAACAGGTTAATTAATTATAGCTAAGAATACGATACGATGACGATAGTCGTCATAATGCATACCTTAGAATCTGGGTCATTATTAGCACATTTACGGTAGTTTCGATAATCCGGAAAAAAATAATTGGATTACCGATTTGATGGTTTTACTAACCAGTTGTTAGTTAGATTTAAATAGTCATTCAATATAAACACCGGATAGAACACCGAATATCCTGAGAAACACACCGAATATCCCAAGAAACAGTATTTCCGGCAATCTCCAATACCGATGACACGGTGTGACATGCATTGGTTGGAATTCGGTAAATAATTATAAATAAACCGGCGATACTAGATTTAGTTTTAAATACTGTTTACCATGATTATTATTTTTGATACACCTGGTGAAAGAGGCTTAGTTTTTAAAAATATTGTTGTCTTTATGGAGGGCTATTACATAGTCGTATGGAATTTTATTTTAAACCAATTTCAATTATGTGAATTAAATATGGAAAATTATTTTCCTTTCAGTCAGTGTTCAGTCTCAGTGTTTTAGTAGACTTGATTTTGGGTTTATGTTTTAAATATGTACAATAAAGTTGAATATAACGGAAAGCAAAAACGTAAACAAGTAATGACTTTCTCATTTAAAAAAAAAAAAAAAAGAAAGACCGCCCTCCCGCCCCAACAATTTTCAGCAATAGCCAAATTTTATTTTGCACCATCAATGAGTAAAAAAAAAAAGAAACCGCCCTCCCTCCCTACAGTTTCAGCTGTCAGTTGCCCGAGAAACAAGACATTTATTTTGTGTGGCCTTAATTAGATTGCCACTTTTGTCATATTTCATACACTCAAGAAGATAGAATTAGCATCACAAACACCTAATAAAAAGACATTTCTAAATGAAGCAATAAAATACTCACAGCACCAAATAATTTAACACCTTCCATTAAATCTATAAATTGTTCAGCTATTTCTACAGCAACACGACTCTGAGCCTCATGTGTACTGGCACCTAAATGGGGTGTGGCTATTACCCGTAGGTGTTGAGCTAATTTATAATCAGTGGGGGGTTCCTGAAAAAAAGAAGAGATTTTAACAATATTAATAAATTTGTCAGCCAACAAAAAAAAATATGTGCCGACATGAGAGTGAGAAATGGGGTTTAATGTACACTCCAACTCAATCTAGGCTATTTTGGTCTAATATGGTAAAACTTTATTTCAATAATTTGTTAGTACTTAAGCAGTTGAAGAAAACTTGACACCTGACTCAATGACACTGAATATGGTACACTACCTGGCCACCCAACTCTGCTTTATAAATAGCATTTTTATTTTTGAAAAGCATTTCTCTAGAACTATACAGTATAAAAGCCTTGACCTGAAGTCTCTTTACATGGTTTTTGTAACCGAGATTAAAGTTCTAGTCTTTGAAAGGATTTAATCTGAGAGTAAACCAGAGTTGTCTAAAGTATATTACCTGTACAAACACATCTAATCCTGCTCCACCACATTGTCCAGATTCTAAACTACGATATAAACCTTCTTCATCGATTATACCTCCTCTAGCACAGTTTACAACACGTACACCACGTTTACATTTATTAAATACTTCTTCATTTATTAAATCTTAAATACAAAACACATTTATTAAATACTTCTTCATTTATTAAATCTTAAATACAAAATACATTTATTAAATACTTCTTCATTTATTAAACCTTAACCCGTTAAGTGCGTCGGTCGTTATATAACGTCCTGGACAACTGCCACTCACTGTGCATAGGGCATAATATAACGCCTTGGAGGTATTTTCCCCAATCTATTCTTAGAACATAGTTCATCACATGGGGGAATCCCTTGGGAATTCCCCCACGATCGCAGCATGTGTAGGACGTTATATTACATCCTGGACAACTGCCACTGACTGTGTGTAGGGCGTAATATAACGCCTTGGAGGTATTTTTCCCAACCTATTCTTAGAACATAGTTCATCACTTGGGGGAATCGATAGGGAATTCCCCCACGATCGCAGCAAGAGAGAGAGAGAGAAATGGGGTTTAACGTCCACTCGACACAAACTAGGTCATTTCGGGACTAACACATGGTTTTCATTTTATTTACTTAATTCGCTTGCGCGTAGGGGTCTTTAGCAGTGGGAGGAAACCGGATGCCCCGGAGAAAACCCACGAGGTTGGACAGGCGAACGATCGCAGCATGTGTAGGACGTTATATTACGTCCTGGACAACTGCCACTGACTGTGTGTAGGGCGTAATATAACGCCTTGGAGGTATTTTTCCCAACCTATTCTTAGAACATAGTACATAGTTCTTCGTCACTTCGTCAAATTAATTACACAATAGGGGGTAGTTGACGTTTTAAAAACGTCACGCTTAACAGGTTAATACAAAATACATTTCTTCATTAATTAAATCTTAATACAAAATACATTTATCAAATACTTTTTTATTAAATCTTAAGTAATGAATATATCTACTGTGTTTAACAATCATCATTAGGCCATTTTAGGACTAATATATCGCATATGTACATGTATATATATCTTTTTCATTAATATGCAAAAAAGCATGGCACTTTAGCTGGGGGAAGTTGGTGAAAACACATCTGTCTGCCCTGATATTTGTCACATAATAATCATGGGATTAATCCCCATGACTTGCACAATTGACAAACCAATGATTTGTAGTTAAGTGCTTTCAACTGTAGCCTTCCAACCCCTCAAATAATTTGTAGGTTATGTGCTAAAGCAATGTCAAGCACACTTGTAACCTATAGTATGTTGTTGGAAATTTTTTATTATGTAGCTTGGATCACTAAATGCTAAAATAATAAAACTTACTTTTAGTTTGGGGTATAAGTGGTGTATGAACAGTAATATAATCTGCCAAGGGCCATAACTCCTCTAATGGTAACCAATCTACGTTATATGTAGAACTGACATCACCACCAATAATAGGATCATATCCAATTGTCTAAAACACAAGCAAATAAATACAAATGAATTTGGTGCATTTTGGTCTTCCTACCCCTTTTTTTATGAGGATAGCAGATTTATCTAAGGTGTGGAGGTGGCAGAGTGGTTTAAGGTTTGGGGGTGGCAGAGTGGTTTAAGGTTTGGTGGTGGCAGAGTGGTTTATGGTTTGGTGGAGGCAGAGTGGTTTATGGGGTGGGAGTGACAAGAGTGGTTTAAGGAGTGGGGTAGCAGAGTGGTCTAAGATGGCAAAGTGATTCAAAGATGGCAAAGTGATTCAAAGAGTGGAGGTTGAAGAGTGTTCCAAGCTGTTAGGAGTGACAGAGTGGTGTTTAAGAAGTTTATACTTCAAAATATAACTGTTCAGTACAGGTGTGGAGTATACTCTGGTTTAGAACGAGAAATAAACTAACCTTCATACCGAATGACTGCATTCTTAATGCTACTTCTTTACCTATTCTACCTAGACCAACAATAGCCAGTGTTTTACCATTCAATTCATTTCCCATATATTTCTTTCTGTCCCATCTACCTTCTTTCATTGACTGAGCTGCATTTGGTATATCCCTGATAATACATACAACATTACATACACAAGTGTAGGATAAGGGATACAGGAGGAGAAGGGGGGGGACTATTGGATTAACCTAAAAGAGATCTATGTGGCCTTCTTGATTAATGTCATTTAATAAAACAAGGATCTAAACCTCTAAGTAAATATCTGGAATATTACGACTACTTGAAGGATCTCATCTGACATCTCCCCCCAAATACAGAAAATCAGAAATCTCACTGTATGCTTATATTCTATTTTTATTAAGTACAGTTTCAGGTGAGTGACCATTATCAATATTGTAAACTGGCAAATAAATAAAATCACGCTGTAAAAGCATGTACAGAAAGAAAATCTATAGTCATGTATTAGTGACAGATGTTGCCATATAATGAATCGAGACATAGTGAGATTAGAATCAATATTATATTATCCTACCTTGACATGGTTACTATTAGAGTACATGTGATATTATATTACCATAACTCGACATGGTTACTATTAGAGTACATGTGATATTATATTACCATAACTCGACATGGTTACTATTAGAGTACATGTGATATTATATTACCATAACTCGACATGGTTACTATAAGAGCATAGATATTATATTATCCTACCTAGACATGGTTACTATAAGAGCACATGTATGCTCTGCTGCACTTAATGTATTACCACCTGGAGTACTGAAACAATCAATAACAATCATTAATATTAACAAAAAATTTAATAATATCAAGATATTGGCATATTGCATTACAATGTCTAGACATTTCATTACAATGTCTAGATCAGTGGTTCTCAACCCTTTTTTGGCAACGGCACACCTTGGAACATATAAAAAAAAAATAGCGACACACCAGCTGACTAAACATATATGAAAAATATTTGAATTTTGCAAAATAAAAACATGGTAAGTCATAGGCGGCATACAACCACAGACAAGTCATAGAAACATAGAATGACTCAAACTCAAACTAAATAAAGTTAAACACAGCTATGAACGTACCAGTAGAGACACCAGTGAATACTCAATTGGGATCAAGTGGCTTTTCGCATTTTCTTAGTGTGCCGTTCAAATTTCGCGACACATTTAGGAAGATCTCACACCGCAGCACACTGGTTGGGAATCACTGGTCTAGATGATTACAATGTCTAGACATTCCATTACAATCTCTAATCTCTAGATTACAAAGTCTAGATATTTGACTACAATGTCTAGATTTTAGATAACAATGTCTAGACACTAATAGATTGGAGCCATTCATCTTAAAATAAAACTGTAACTATGCTTACTTCATGACAATAATTCCTCTCTGTGTTGCAGCATTACAGTCGATATTATCAACACCAGTACCAGCTCGCCCAATAATCTTCAAGTTACTAGCGGCAGCGATGACATCTGCTGTTACTTTCGTTGCTGATCTGACAATTAAACCATCATATTTCTGAAATACACATAGATGTATTGTAATTACATGTACACTATTAGATACATGTACATATAATTATACTAAGATAGATTTGGTTTAAACAATATTTTATTCATAAAATATCATATAATACAGTTTTAAAGATATGATACAAAAACAAGCTAAAAGCTTATATAAATTTGCTTCATATAGATTTCAGGTTGAAAATATAAATCATTATCATTGAAAATCATTATCCGTGGTCAGGACATGAAAAGCAGAGACCTGAAGAGAGAGAGAGAGAGAAATGGGGTTTCATGTCCACTCGACACAAACTAGGTCATTTCTGGACTAACATATGGTTCAATTTTATTTCCATAATTTGCTTGCGCGTAGGGGTCTTTAGCAGTGGGAGGAAACCGGAGGACCCGGAGAAAACCCATGAGGTTGGACAGGCGACCCTACTCCTTGTCACTTACAACCGGGGATTCGAAACCACGCCAATTGACTCAATGACAGACTTTATGATACAGCAAGCATGTGCTAACCATTCAGCCAACCAACCAACACCCCCACCCCCGCGAGGTTGGAAAGGCGACCTTACCCCTTGCAACGTACAACCGGGGAATCGAAATCACGCCGCAGTTGACTCAATGCCCCTTATGATACAGCACGCACGTGCTAACCACTCTGTCATCCAATCCCCCAGAGACATGCCTGTTGTCGATAGCAACGATGGCACAGAAAAGGAAAACACTGAAGCTAAACCTCGTCTTATTTACAGACTGACCAGTAACTTTTCTCAAAAAGTTTTCCAGGCAAAAACTACTTAATGCAGACTTGATTGCTTTATATTTTAATGAGTGAACAATTTACAGGATAGTTTGCATAATGATTATATTTTCTAGTGAAATGACATTATTTAACACACTTGTAATTATTTCTGAAGAAATATGTATTATTCACTTTTAACTGAGAGATAATTGTATGTGATATCAAATAGGTTATGGGGAGACAATTTTTTTCTTGGTGGCCTTAGACATTTAGGGTACATTGTCTATTGTTATTCATGTACATGTACATATTGACCTCATTTTAGCCAATAAAAAAAGAAAAATGAGAAACTATGTCAAACACAATGTCATTTATAGACAGTGAATTACAGGTCAGCTACTATGTCACATGGCATATGGGCTTGATGAATGTTTATCTTGTGATATTTAAGTCAACATACAATATAGGGTAAAATATATAAATAAAACTTTCCATATTTATTTAACTGTTTAGTTTGTTGAATTCTAACATGTTTAAATAGTTTTTCCATTCCAATCAAAGAGTTCAAAAAGACATGCCCTCCATACAAATAAAAGTCATTTTACATTTATTATTGAAAGATTTTTATTAACCAAAAATCTAAACAGATTGCACCTGTTACCAAAAGTGATTAAACTTAATAATTGGATTGTCTCCCTTTAGTCTCCAAAATAAAATCTTGGTATTGACAAATAATTCATGATTTTAAAATGGACGGATCAAATACAAGAAATCAATTGAAATAAAATAAAATTATCAGTTTCATTGAAATTCAAACTAAAGAAATATCTTTAATATTGTCTTGGCAATAAAAAGTGGTCCAAATGGACTTTTTAAGGTTAAAATCACCTGGGTCAGATTAAGTTGGGTCTAGAAATATTAACTCTTAAAGATGGATTATGTAAGATTTAGATAAAGAGCTGGCCATTCTTGCTACACTTGTTCAAAAATAGATAATGAAGAATGAATAGATTTTAAATTTCAATAAAATTACTTTATTCTGGGCAAAAAATATAACTGTTTGAAGATGTTGCGGAGATCGTCTATTATCCATTTTATCATTTAATCTTTAAATTTTGCGGGTATCCAAATCCATTTAAATCTCTGCCATCTGATAATCTAAAGAGTTGTCATGTGAATAAATGTTTGTATAGTAATCTACATGTATATAACATTTGAAGCCAAAATAAAGACCTGCAATAGGCAGATTTAGTTCTTACATCATATTGTATGTTAAACATTCTGTTTGTTCATATTAAATGTCAAAACAATCTTGGCACCGGTAATTAAATAGTAAATAAATGAATGTTTGTATAATTGGAGTAAAGATAATCCTTTAGGCTAATTACTAATAAAAAAATTACAACTCAAGTGTTTGACAGACCTATACCAAACATCAAATTGTTGACAATAAGGTAAAAGTGATCTGTCAAATTTAAATTAGAATTAATACCCATATTTTCTTTACTTTTTTATCTCCAGCATAAATAAAATTATATAATTATGCAATAGGTTTGTTTGCTTTTTTATTATGCAGATGGTAATTTAATATAATAAATATTAATCAGATAGATTCAATAAGAAATACTGAACTTTAATAACCTATATACCAGTCGTGTATCCAGTTGCCAATTAATTAAATTAATTTTTAAAGTTTACAATTAGTTACTAATTTAGATATACATTAACTCTTCCCTTTTTTTGTAGAGAATTTAAATGCATACCAGAATATTTTTTCTATAGAAAATAGGATCCTTAGAAAATAAAATTTAATGGAAAATTTTATTTTAAATCTGAAAAATGATTGGCTAACAGTTGCATGCAAGGCTGAATGCAGGGTCAGCATTTTTACTCCCCGTCACATCACTTTTTGTCCCATCTGATCACATGTGTTGTGCATGACTTACCGCTATTTCCTTAATTAATTGTTCTTTAGATAATTTTGTGTTTTTCGTCACTTCGATCCCTTTTTTCTGCAATATATGCACACATTTTTCATCAATTTCATCACTTATTAAAACTTTTTTCAGTGTTATAACCATTTTGACGTCTTGGTTTAATTTGTATGTCCCACTTCTTCCACACGTGGTTAAATTGAAAGACGTCAATTTGACGGGTTTAGTCGTTATATACTCAATGCGGATGTGCATGTGCGTGGAACTTTGGTTTACTTTTAGTACAAAATAATTCGACAATTTCAGGTTATGTGTCACAGATTATTCCATGGTTAAAACAAAACAGATATTATATTACAACACTTTTATGTAATGAGAATTATTTGCCTATATTAGGGAAGAACTCTTTCTGTCACCAGCGGAGTGATTAGCGAAGTATCACGTGATATCTCAATGATCGTAAACATTCCCCATTGCCGCCGTGTTTATTAGATGTGTCGCGGTTTGGCTTGGTGCCCGGTTTGACTCGATTCCTTGTTGATCTTTTAGATGCACAATAACTTGACTTTAGTCTTGACGTTTTTTTTAGTACAATGGTAGGCATGCATAATATATACAATATAGTACACAACAGACTTCAGAAACCTGTGCAAATAAATAAGAAATACTAATTCTAAGATATTAATTTATATTAATTTTAATGGGTTGTAGTTGAAAAGATGTCTACCAGAGTGTTTCATAAGACAAGGAAATAGAAGTCAGTCAACAGCATTATTCATAATCAACTTTTGACTGCTATAAAACAGGTTTTAGAATATAGAAACTGGGCACCATACGTAACGCGCGGTTAAATCGCGACCCACCATATCGAACAAAGAACCGAATCGAACTCGGTACCGAATCAAACCGTGACACCGGTTTTGAATACAAATGGGATATCAATACGGGATTTCATGATTTCGTCATTGTTGTTTACTCCAATTTACCGATTTCATCATCCATCTGTCTGGATACATGTGATGATTGAATAGCCCGAATGTCACATTAGTCTGGGAATATAGACAGCTCTGTAATGTATTTTATGCTAAAGAATTTATGTAAGCGACGGTCGAAAAATGATGCAATATAGACTCCTAATTTAAGTATTATGCAAACTTTCAAAATTCGAGAAATTATAGGCTTAACTGGTCCTTGACACAGAAAAATCTACGTACATTTCTTATATAACTTTCAAAAAACATTCCAATATAGGTCATCAGCGAATGTAAAGAAATTTTTTATATAAGTATGGTATTTTGACAATCAATGCGTCGTATATAGACCCATTATACAGTTTCAAAACTTATACCACCAAGTAGCCGTGAGGAGGGACGTAGCCGGGTGGGGTGGGGCATCCACCCAATACTTGTACGTCTACTGAGGAATTGGGTTTGATTTTAAAAATTCGATTCGCTGAATTCCTGACTAGAACGTGCTGTGAATGGCGCGCGTGTCTATATTTTAAAATAAAAGTACAAAAAATATATGCACAAACATAAATGAAGAACACGTACATAACCATCGACATGAGGCGTCTAGTGGAAAGGGGGATCACGTGGCTCAGTGGGTAAGACGCTGGCTCGCTAGCCTGGAGGTACAAACGGGGAATCGAAACCACGCCAGTTGACTCAATGACAGACATAATACAGCGCGCACGTGCTAACCATTCGGCCATCCAACCCCCGTCAGGGCTTGCTAGGCTGGAGGTCTGGTGTTCGATCCCTGCATTGACCAAGAAAGTTCATCCAGATTTTCCGGCGTGGTTCCCCCTCGTCAGTGATGCAGGATGGGAGGGCCTGACAAGGACGGCTGTCTAGTCCTTCGGATGAGACGAAAAACCGAGGTCCCGTGTATACATTGGAATGCACGTAAAAGATCCCTTGGCAGTTGAAATTCGATATAAGAGTAGGCGATAGTGCCGCTGCCCGGGCAAAATTTCCCTAATAGCACACTGTATGGCGTATGTCCGTCTTCATTAGCCCAGCATAGGAGTAGAACAGTAGGACGTTAAACCCCATTTCATTTCATTTCGTCAAGTGGAAGGAAATAAGGGTTAATGTCCGCTTCTACCGAGGATAATATCGCCGACAAACTTAATCAATTTATACGCGCTATAACAAAACTAGTGCAATATGCACGTATCTGACTTTTTACCGTCATGGTTACAGGAATCTTTCATAATAGTCCCATGTATATATTGGAGTTCACGTAAAAGATTCCTTGGCTGTTTGAATTCGATATAAGAGGCCACGGTGCCGCTGCCAGGGCAAAATGTCCCTCATAGCAGTGATAGCACACTGTATGGCGTATGCCCCATCTTCATTAGCACAGTCGGAGCAGAACAGTAAGACGTTAAATCACATTTCATTTCATTTCATTTCCTTTGATAATATAATTAATAGACTGTGACACGGCATGAGACACACCTTGGATGAAACAGTATAGTAATTGTTTATTCCAAATTATTTCCACATTAACTTTTATGTTAATTCTCGTCTCGTTGACTGTCTCTAACTTTTCACCTAATTGTCGTGGGGTTGAACGCATTCTACCACAGATGGAGCAACATTTATTTAAGCCAGCTATGGTTCTGCCTTTACATAAGTTAAAACGGATCCGAATAATTTTTGTCTAATATCTATTTTACCTGTATTATCAAAACCACTTTTAAAACAAACATAGTTTGTTGTACGCTTATTAGTCAGGTTTCAGACAAACTAGTCCTTGTTTAACTGCCAAATGAAATGAAATGAAATGGGGTTTAACGTCCTACTAATTCTGCTCCTAAACTGGACTAATGAAGACGGGCATACGCCATATATACAGTATGCTATGAGGGAAATTTTGCCCGGACAGCGGCGCTACGGCCTACTCTTATATCGAATTCCAACTGCCAAGGAATCTTTTACGTGCACACCAATGTGTACACGGGACCTCGGTTTTTCGTCCCATACGAACGACTAGACAGCTGTTCTTGTCAGGCACTCAGTCCTGCCATCACTGACAAGGGGAAACCACGCCGGAAAATCTGGATGAACTTTCTCGGCCAATGCAGGGATCGAACACCAGACCTCCAGGCTAGCGAGCCCTGACGGGGGTTGGATGGCCGAATGGTTAGCACATGCGCGCTGTATTATGTCTGTCATTGTGTCAACTGGCGTGGTTTCGATTCCCCGTTTGTACGTGACAAGAAGTAGGGTCCCCTGTCCAGCCTCGTGAGTTTTCTCCGGGTCCTCCGGTTTCATCCCACTGCTAAAGACCCCTACGCGCAAAGGAATTATTGAAATAAAATTGAACCATGTACCGAAATGACATGGTTTGTGTCGAGTAACCCCATTTCTCTCTCCCTCTCTTTAACTGCCTTGATACATATAACAGAAAACATTTATGATAACTTGAATTCCAATTTGTTAAGTTGATTAATCTTTTCTAACTTCAGAAAATCCTTTGATATAGCGAATCATAAATTATTATTACAAAAATGTGCTTTATACCAATTATCGAAATCTTCCCTATTATTTCTAAAATCATATCGTTGTGACAGAAATCAGTGTTTATTGGCAATATTTTAATCCATATATATTTCTAAAACATTTATTCGTTTTTCTAAAACTTCAAGAAAATGTTCTAGAATGTAATTTGCAGAAGGAAAAGGTTAATATTGTGAGCTAATTAAACCACCCACAGACATCCATCCATCCATTCATTCATCAATATACATACGAAATAACAAAACAAACCATTGGGGGCCTCGTTGATCAAGTCTGCAGACCTGCAACCACCATAACCGCCACACCCGTAGCCAATCGGGGGCAAGTTCGGGAACAATGCCCCCCCCCCCACACACACACACACCCAGAAAAAAAAATGATTTGTCCCTCGTCCCCATCCCCGAAAAAAATTGCCGTTCATAGTACTGTAATAGACAGCAGTCATGGATCATCATATGAGAGAGAGAGAGAAATGGGGTTTAACGTCCACTCGACACAAACTAGGTCACTAACACCTGGTTCAATTTCATTTCAATAATTCGTATGCGCGTAGGGGTCTTTAGCAGTGGGAGGAAACCGGAGGACCCGGAGAAAACCCACGAGGCTGGACAGGCGACCCTACTCCTTGTCACGTACAAACGGGGAATCGAAACCCCGTCATCATATGAAGTATTAATTTGGGAACGTGGCACCTGAGGTTGATACTGCTGTTGATCGAAAAAGTTCCCCGGCCAAGGTCCCGTGTACACATTCTAAAAGAACCGATGTCAATTGGCCTACTCTTATATCGAATTCCATCGGTTCCTTTATACGTGCACCTCAATGTGTATACGAGACCTCGGTTTTCGTCCCATTGGAATGACTACATATTGCCCATTGCCAGGCCATCTGTTCTGTATCACTGACAAGAGGGAACCACTTTTATGGCCTACACCGTGATCAAACACGGGACCTCCAGGTTAGCGACGTCTTACTCACTGAGCAACAACGACTCCCCTAATTTAAAACCGTTTTATAGTTCACTATAAAATCAATCGAAATTTATTTCAACTTCAATGCTAGAATTGACTGATTTGAATTTAAATTGTTACTGCTATTTAACTTAACGCGGGATGAATATATTGTCAGCAGACATGTTGCGTAATAATTGGTGTTGTTAATAGTAGGATACACTGGCCTCATTATCAACACATCTTAACCATTCGGGATATCGTAATCTGTATGTGTTGAGGTACCGAATTAACCACTGTTAGCATTTAATCGACGGATAAGGAGGGGCGCTTTTTTAAAACTAATCATTGTGGAGGTGGGCTTTGAATATTTCCACAGATATGGTGATGATACTTGGTTGTCTGCTAATCTGTTCCAGTCTATCACAGTTCCAATAAAGAATGAATGGTTGTGAAAGACAGTTTTCGCGTTGTTTACTGTGAAACATCTCGTGTTGGTAGTAGCAGAGTTTCAACAATGTGTGTTGAATTAAAGTTTGTAAATGCTTTTGGCGTTATACGACGCTTATTTCTAATAGGTTTTAGGTATCTTTTAGAAGGTATGGCTGGTACCAGCCCCTCGGTCACCCTAAAGAGAAATGTAAACCTCAAGTCTTTCCGGCGTTCTTGTAGTAATGGTAGTCCAAGTTAATGAACATCTGTGTGACGTCTGGGGTCCTTGTCCTATAATCCCTTGTGATGAATCAAACTGCCTTTCTCTGGATCCTTTCAAGATTGTCGATGTCAAACCTGAGGAAAGGGTCCCATATGATGGCTCCGCATTCCAGTGTTGATCGGAGAAGAGCGATGTAGGCTGATTTCCTGGTCCGTAGAGGACAGTGGTGGAGATTTCGGCGGATGAAACATAATGTCGAGCTGACCCTTTTGCATATGTCAATGTGAATTCCCGATTTCAAGTCGGATGATATGGTCATTTATAGGTACGGGTTTTTGTTGACTTCCTGGAGAATGATACCGCATAGCTGGTAGATATGGGATGACTTTGGTTTACCACGGACAACATAGCATTTTTTAACGTTGAAGCGCATACCCCATGCCTTGGCCCAGTTCTCAAGGTTCTGTGCGTAGGTCCTGTTGTAGGATTACGTGATCCTGGATGTTGAGTATTACCCTATACAATAGGCAGTTGTCTGCAAAGAATCGGATTGTTGATTTTACAGTATATACCTGATTCTACTGGCAAAGCTCTGGAGTGCTTACCTTCTACTAAGACGGTCACCAGATGACTGTGACAAATTCAATTCTTTATGGATAGAAAGATTAAAAAGTAACGAAACGTTTAAGGATCAAGGAATATTATGAAGTTAACATTAAATTAAACTCTGGTTTGACTGCAAACCCAAATCAATTATAATAATTGGAGTTATCTCCCATGAAATTCGGAATATTTGTAGTTATTGCCCCTTGAAAGATCAGTAAAATAAAAACCATAAACAGTGCGTTGTTATGGCAACGTATACTGTCATGGTGGATAAAAAATAATTTATGTTTGAGTGAAGAGGTTTTCCGCTATCAAACTCACCAAATTGTAAGTAATTTGAGAGGTTTAATTACCGGTGCTAATAAAAGCACACCCTCCTTTGGGATGGTGTCATTTTTTTCTCCCACAAATCACCAAGTAAACCGACCGTTGTTCAATCAAGACTTGTCTTGAGTTGAAATTTTAATTTCAGATGAGGCTGGGCCTATCTGCCTACTAACTACTGTCTGAACTCTGAACCGTCCTAAATTTTAAACGGATTTCTTTGATTATGAACAAACTACAACTCTTGTTGTAACTGAATAATATGTCCCAATCTTTATTCTGGTCAACAAATTGTACTATTTTACAATATTCCAATTAATTGATGATACAAATTTCATCTTAACACACCTAAAATTGCTAATTTAAAAAATTGGAAAAATTCAACTAAATGATTTGAAAAGCCTGACATAAAGCTTTTCAAATGTGACTTAGATTTAAAAATATTTTTGAACCCTTTGGACAAGTAAAATAGGATTTAATGGATAATTTACACAACAGGTAGGACACTAACAGTAACACATGTAGTACTTAGAATAAATAAGGCTATTTTTTATTTTCTGGAGCTGTCAAGCCAGCAAGAGTGTTATTGTCCTTTTAATTGTGGCTATTATAAACCTAACTGCGGTGTGTCTGAAATCACCTCCGGTTAAATAACATCCATTGAACAAATAAATATCCCAACGACTAAACGAATAAAATTAAAATAATTCCCATTTTAGTTGATACTAATTATATTTTTTCAACCGTGTGTAACTTGTCAGTCAGTATCTCCTACTTTTATTTATATATATTTTTATGGTCCATGCCCCAGTGAGTGTCTTAATTGTTTATTTTGAGAGCTTAAGCTTAATTAATAATCTAATACAGTAAACCTTGCATAAGTTGGATTTGTATAAGTCAGATTTTATTCGATAAGTCGGATCTTCGCTCAACTTGGATAAAATCGTTTGGACCCTTTGATCCTGCACGTTTTTCTTATTAAATTTCTGCACGTAAGTCGGATTTTCTAAGTGGGATCTTTGCTCAACTCGGATCACAATATTCGGTCCATTTGATCTAATTTTGGGCTTTTTTCCTTCTCCTAAGTCGGAATGGCAGTATATTCAGAATTTCACGGTCAGTTTCATCCCGATGGTCTAAAACTTGGTTAGGTATTCCATGCACAGAGCCCCAAAATACTTTCCTCTATCATTTTGACTCAAATCAGCCTATTTGGCGTGGCGCAACGCAATAATAAAATTTTCCCGGAAAATTTGAAACTTGCTGTCTGCTGTACGAGACACTTTCCAGGAAAATTTAGGACATTTTTCAAAGATGGGGACAAAACGAAGTTATCTAGTACTCGCACATACAAACGAAAGCTTGAAATGTGCCTTTGAATCAATTATTATCTGGCTCTTGCAGTTTATTTCTAATCGAGCTAAGATTGAATTTCGGTCTTCGGCTAACTCTGATCTTCGCTTAACTCGGATAAAATTGGTCAGTCCACTTATATCTGACTTATGGGAAGTTTACTGTAATTACTAAAGTTGGCCTACATGTAGTAAATCTCAGTGACCAATTTGATTCATCTGCACTCACTGGTCTATAGGCCTACTCATTGTTCGGTAGGCCTTCATCTTTCTATCTGGCCTTGTCCGAAATTTGTCAGGCTAACTCCCTGTCTCTGTTTTTGATTAATTGCTATTTTGGCCAGGAACAATTCTGAACAAATAAATATGTTCTATTTATCATTTATTCCAACCTATTCGGACTTCTACTTTTCCAAACTTATTTAAATAATATATTTTTTAAATGTTTTTTTTTTCCAGACTGACTGTATGAAGTTAAAAGGCAAAGTGATAAAATATAGTCATGTCTCAATCTGCATCTGGATGGGGAAAGAAAGCAGCAACACGAATAGATCGAACGCAGTTTGATAACGATGAACTACTGAAATCTCTCGGTTCACAGTTTAATGTAGATTTTTCTAACTATGATCAATGGCAGAGAACATCCCGAAGCAACAAATCTCCAGCAGCTAAAACTGCCTCTAATGCAGATGTGTCAACAACTTTTACTGTAAGTCGCTTAAAATCCATTGACTCTTCATGTGCTAAACACAGCTCGTTCAGAGAAAAACGACAGGCTGCAAAACAAGAAGAACTTGATAGAGAGGAAGCTGAGAGGATAAAAATTCTTGAGTTGAGAATTCGAACACGGAGAAAAACTTATGGAGAATATGTGAAGAGATGCAAGGAATTGATAATTGAAAATAACAAATTGAAAGATTTAATAGACGCAGATGAAGATAATACTCATGGTGGTGTTAAAAATTTGTTACGGAGATACGAGCGTTATCGAGGTGGTATCGCAACACTGAATAACAATTTTACCAAAGAACTAGAAGAGGCCTTGGAAGAACTTAGTGTTACCAAAGAGAAAATAAAAAGACATATAGATATTTTAGAACAAGAATTAGCTGTGATGAATGAAAAATTAACAGCAAAGCAAGATGAATTAAAAGTGTTGCTAAGTTACAAGGATAAAGAATATCCTGTAAAAGCCATGAAAATAGCGGGACTACATACTGAGATTGACAATCTTAAACTCAGTAATAAAGAGGATCAGGATGAATTACAGCATATCATTAACACTGAAGAAGGAAAATACGAGAAAAGTCGGGAACAGGAATCAAATGAAATCACCAGAAATGTTACGGACAGCGCTGTTAAGATGATGCATCAAAGTTTAAAAGATATGGCTTTTCAAAATATGGTCATGGAAAAGGAAATTTTAATTCATTCAAGTCAGGAAGAAGGCTTACAACAGAGGACAGCTAAATTACAAGCTGAGATTGATGCTTTACGCGGCAACAAAACAAACATTCGTTTACAGATGTTTCCCGAATTCTATGTGGATAGACCGAAATGTACTCCAGATATGGATGTGATATTAAATATACCAACCCAAGAATTGTTACCTATATAAATTTTGTCAGGTCTTTCCATAGGTCAATAGGTCAGATGCAGATGATAACTGCTGAGTATGTGCTAGATGTTGTGATAGTGTATGGATGATGATTATAACTTTAAGCAATATATTTTGTAACCTCCTAAATAAAACCCATGTACATTTGTACTGTATTTATGTCATTTGAAACAAAAAAATCAGAACTTCAATAGATAATCAGGAATATTTTTATTATACCAGTACCCCACTCATTGTAAAATCTTATACACCAAAATTCAATATGTGACATATATGTTCACTGGTTCCATTAAGTGCTGCTAACCTGCCAGTTTCAAGCACCCACCCCGCTCATTTGCTTACCTAACGTCAATGTAAGATAAACATAATGTGGGCTGTACATGTGACATAAAAGTAAACTAACAAAGTACTTTTAGATGCAATCTGATTAAAACACAGATCCTATTAAAAAAATTCATTTCTTTTTTTATAGTTCCAAATTTCGTTTTACTTGTCTTTACTACACTAGGATCTGGAAGAGTTGTTATATAATTGGCATTCTCGATAATGTAAAGGATTAGTCAATGAAACGTTCTGTTACAGGGAGTTTTTGGCGTGAGGTGCACGGATCTGTGGGTAACCCATGGGAAAATCAATACTGATTGGTTAGTCAAATGTCTGACATCATAGGGTCAAAAGCCTCTCGCATGACGTTTGACGCAATCTTTCACTACAACCAGTCAGATTTTCATGTAGGATAGGCCATCAAAAGTATAAAAAAAAACCCAACGAAATATAGATCTGTATTTTAATCAGATTGTTTTAGATGATTTTATTTTTGATTTCATTGTTGAAAGTACCCATATTTTGGATCAATCTTTTTAATGCGCCTTGGTAGTTTACTTTGAATATGATAATAATACCACAACAAAATTTTATCTAATTTCTTTAATGAATAGAAAGTGGTAAGGTGTTTTAAAAGGAGTGTGTATTGATTATCAAGGCCATCTATCTCAATAATAATACTGTTTTTGGGTTGGTTTTTTTTTTACAAATTAGAAGATATAGACAGACAAGTCAATGTACATCTATTGTATTTTAACAGTACTGGATTACTGGTGTGCTTCAGAATCTAAATGGCACAAATAAGTGTTATGTGAACAAGTGACTTGGTAAAATGGTAGAACCTAATTATAAGAAGTTCAACTGTTTCCTCATCTCACAGTTGATAATACATCTAAGGGACATAATTTTGGGCCTATCTATAGTCAGTTGAATAAATTCAAGAATTGGATTTTTTTGTTCAGGTTGTGGGTGGAGGTGTTTGTTATATTATCTACCCTTGTTTTATTTTTAATACTACATCTATCCTCAGTATCCCCTGTGGTCTCATTCTGTTAGTGGAGTAGAACGGAATAAGACCACTGGGGATACCTAAGGATGTCTACATATCTTCTTAATGATTTTTATTGATGTCATGACAAACAATGTTCTGTGTTCTTATATGCTGTGTTGGTTTGTTAAAACTTTTCTTTTGAACACTATGCACACACAGTTCTGGTAGTATTTTTTAAAAAAAAATAGGACTTTGTTCACTTTGGTCTGAAGTGGAGAGAAAAGTGATTTAACGTCCACTCGACATATGTGATACAATTTTATTTTAATAATTTGCTGCATGTTAATAGAGCTGAAGGAAACCAGAAGACCTGGAGAAAACCCATGAGGTTGAGCAGGTGACCTACTCCTCGTCACACACAAGCTTGGGATTAAAACTTGACTCAATTATAGACCTTATGATTTAATAATAAGTGCACACTTTAAATGAATAGAAACTGCAAACTTTAGATCACTTGACCCATCTATCTAAATTCAAAATGTTTTGAAAACCTGATGGGATTGTTCGATTGTGGGCCCAAGAAGGTACCATAATCAGGGTATTTTTAATCTTGTAGTGCAGCAGAGTAAGCGTTACATAAAGAAAGGCAGACTAGAAATTTTTTTTGCTGTGTCGCTCCAGCTGTGGTAGGCCTCTACTATGACTAGGAACTTTATTTGACTGCCTGCAGCTGTTTATACCCTCTTTACCATATCTGCATTAACATCAATTGTTTAGGATTTACATGTATATTTATTGTTTAGGATTTACAATTTACATGTATATTTATTATATAAAAATATTCTTTTATTTTTGGCAATGGGTTTTGTAAAATATTTTTACATTTTGATTATGGTATTGTTAATAAAACAATATAAATAATAGTATGTACTAGGTCTTTCTTTTATTTAGCTTACACTTGAACATATTGTTAGACTGCTGTCTACTGTAAGCAAGATCTAACTACTTTTATTACTGGTTATCTCTCCTTGAAGCCGGATTTAAGCCACCATGATTGGCTAATACCATTTTTGCTGAAAGAAGAAAAACATCTTTTGATTGTTTAATTGAGGTTTCAAGTCTTGTCAATTGAACACAAACTCCATGGAGATGCTGTTAGATCAAAACACAAACGACACAATTTCAGAAAAATGAAAAAGCAACGAAAGTATTATGGTCTAAATTTAATTAGATTGGGCTCAGGTCAAACATTAAGCAAAATAAGAATGTGCTTGACTTACCCAGAGAGAGAGGGGGAGGAAGATGGGGTTTAACCTCCACTCGACACAAACTAGGTCATTTTAGGACGAACATATGGTTCAGTTTTATTTCAATAATTCTCTTGCTCGTGGGGGTGTTTAGCAGTGGGAGGAGGACCGGGGCGACCCTACACCTTGTCATCTACAACCGGGGAATCGAAGCCATGACAGGCCTTATGATGCAGCACACACGCGCTAACCATTCGGCCATCCAATCCCCCACTTGCCTTAAGGCATCAAGGATAAGAAGGGGCAAGACAAAAAGTTTTTCAGTGCTGAATTTACATTGTACGTACTGATGCAATTCTGTATACAGGCCAGCAAAATGGCCCCACCATTTATTTTAAAGATGGGCATCGTCTTTATCAATTGAATTACCCGGTACATATATAAGGGGGCACAATAATTTTGTCAATTTCTAAAGATCTTTATTCGATCCTTCTATATTTAATCCTTCCACTGTAGCCAAAAATTAATGTGTCAACCTAAAGTATAGCATACACATCTCAAATAAATATTCTGGGAAATTAGTCGCTCTCAGTGACCAACTCAAATATCATATATAATTGGGTTCGATTTCCAATAATTCTTTGGTTCATCAATATTTTGTGAACATTTTGAGACAATTTGTAAGATTTTACCATGTTGACTGTCGAAGATTTTAATTTTACAGAGGTCTGAACCCTAAAAGCGAGGTTTTATCTAGAGTTATCTCCTTTTAAACAAACACACTACCGGATGTTACTGTAGAAAATGTAAACAAGAGGGAAAAGCACATGTAAAGTAATATACATTACAAAATAACTATGGAAGAAGAAGACTTTGATAATGGTATTCCTGGTTTTGAGTTCGATGAAAATGACTGGCCAACAACCAACGAAAGACCACCTCCATTTGTTGATAGATATTTTTCACGTTTTTATAAAACAGGTACAAAATGAAAGTAGAATTTGCAATTAGACTTGATAGCGTATAATTGAAGAGTTTCAGCACACAATTATTGAATTATAACAACCAGAAGAATGATTAAATTGCTAATTTAAATAGCCTCCAAAATAGACAAAGACCAAATATTTAGAGCAAAATCTGCTCAAAATTGCAAAATTTTCTCTGGGGGCTTTGCTCCGGATGCTCCCTACCTTATACACTTTAATACTGCAAAATGAGGCTTTTGCGGATAGCAAGGGTTACAATTCTTAACAATAATGTAACAGAAAAACCAGTTCACAGTTGCACAAATTTGATGCAATAGGTTTATTACACTCCCCATGCAGATGTATATATGTAGACTACCTGGCTATTCATCAATACAAAGTCTTATTTTAATTTAACCATGCAGTAGCACAATTCATACAAATCCACCATTATTTCAACTCATATATTAATAATTTATATCTATAATTGATATACTGTTCTTTATGCCTCAAAATGCAATTTACAAACAAGCGATTTCGTGCAATACACAAATTATATGTCCCTTGGTTACAACTTCTAAATTAAAAAAAAACAGGTTGAAAATCGCATTTTGAGGGTGAATTTTGACACAAAAACGTTACGATTTTAAATTGCAATTTAGCATAAAGAACAGTATATTATCAAATATTGATATGAATTATTGTATATGAGTTAAAATGGTGGATTTGGTTACAGCTTCCAAACTTGCTTGGAAATTGTATTTTGAGAGGCATTTTGACACCAAAACATTACGATTTTCTATTAAAAAAATGACAATTTGGCATAAATAATGGTATATTATCAAATATCAATATAAATTATCATCTTGTAAGTTGAAATAATGGTAGATTTGGGTAAATCGTGCTAGCCACACCTTGTGCAGATACTACCCCCACTGAGGCGCCATTACACAATATTTTCCCCTCACCCTTACTGTGACTGTCCCCCCTTGCCACTGTCATCACTGCATGTTCACTGTATGTACAGCACTCCATGTCCACTGTATGCCTCTCAAAAAAACAACAAAAAACAATTCTGTACCCTACCGGTATTTTAAGATAAACAAATAGAAAAGATACCTGGTATTTTAAAATAAACAAATGAAAAAAAAAGAAATTTCAGAGCTGTGTCTTTGTATAAAAGGTCTATATAAAATGATTATATTAATATATTATTATACTACTAGATATGAATGGTAAAACTGGTGAAGATCATTGTGTTTTATGTCATTCAAACAAGTAAGTTATTCCTTTATTACAAATTATACTGGCATGCCTATGGATATTTTGATTTTAGTTGACCTTTACAACTGACAATTTTTAACTTTGTGCCAGAAATATATTATAAATAACAATAACAAAGAAAACCGTTCTGTGACATCTCACATAGATTTTGTATGATATCTAAATTTAACTAGCTTAGAACCAAAATGTTGGTATTTTAGAAGATTTAAGGTTAATTTGTTAACTGACTACTTCTACATCATTTCACTAAAGAGGGCAGGAATGGGAAACAGTGAGCAGTTAATGGTATTTCAATTATGGGTTGGTAAACTCAAGCCAGAGAGAGGGAGAGGGAGGGAGAGAGAGAGAGAGAGAGAGAGAGAGAGAGAGAGAGAGAGAGATCCACTTGACAAAAATCACGTCATTTCGGGACTTACATATGGTTCAATTTTATTTCAACAATTTGCTTGCACATAGGGTTTTTTAGCAGTGGAAGGAAACCGGAGGATGCAGAGAAAACCCACGAGGTTGGACAGGCGATCCTACTCCTTGTCACGCAAATATTGAAATAATAAATACATATCTGTTGACTGTTTGCATTTTATTTTATAGAATTTGTATGGTAACCTTAGCCAAATCTCATCCGGTGATCACAGAGAAAAAAGTTATATCTAGTATCAACTTCCAGGTAGCAGACGGGATAAATCGATTAGATAATAAAGTTTCAGGAAAAGGAAAAAGGGTGAGTACTGAGCAGTAGATAGATTTGTAGTGATTCACATCATGAGTTGTTAGATTAAAGACACAGGAAGCCAAATCAATCAAATATATCGCAAATGTCATAATGTAATTAAACACATCAAGATGTAAAAGAAGCTTTCATGAAGATAGCAGGCTGTTATTACTATTTTGTCCAAGATAAATAAAGATACAAAGACGCCAATGTAAACTTTAAATGACCAAATAGCCTCTACTACATGAAGATCTGATCAGCTGTAGTGGAAGGTTGCATCAGGGGTTAAACGAGTGGCTTTTGACCCTATGATGTCAGACATTTTATTAACCAATCGGCGTTGATGTTTCTAGTAGGCTACCCACAGTTCCGTGCATTGTACGCCAAGAACTGACTGCAGGTTATATAACAACTCTTCCAGATTCTAGTGTAGTAAAGACATAATAACATCAAGCTAATTTGGATGTATTTATTTTTCAGGGTGCTCAGTGGGTTAAACCTAACAGTGCTCTATGTAGAATAATTTGTGAGGATGGTAGCCAATATACAGTCTGTGCTTGTGTTCGGGGAATGCTGGTAGAAATAAATGAAACTATTTTAACTTCTCCAAACTTCATAGCTGAAAAGGTATGCTTATAGAGTCTTCCTCAATAAACTTTTTTTTTAGCCATGTTGATTACTAGTACTTATTCTACAAATCTGATATCACTCCTAATTTTCCGATAAATTCAAAAAGCTTATATTTTGTGTTGTATTTTTATAGGAATCCTTCCATTAAAAATGCATTATGTAAGAGCTAACTCTGCCTATTGCATGTTTTTATTTTGACCTCATATTATATAATTTATTAATTAGACATTCATTAACATGACAAGACTATAATCAACTCTCTAGACCATCAGATATTTGCAGTTTTTAATGACCATTTAATAATTTAATTTACAAATGGATAATCAAGACTTTGTTTATTATCGTAACAAGGTTAGCAATTACAATTGAAACTACACTACATGTATTCTTGTTAAAACTTCCAACACTGATAACTTCGCTCAGAATAAGGTAATTCGGCTAAAATTTTCAATCCCTTTTCATTATCTATTTTCAAACTATTATAGCGAGAGCTGTCAGCTCTTTATCTAAATCTTACATGTTGCATCTTTGAGGGCACGGCTCACAATTTAAGGGGGTAACAGATAAAGTAAATCTATTGCTATTGATAAAGTTTAAACTGTTTGCTTAAACTATAATATTGATAATAACCTTTCCAGCTTAAGGAATGGCAAAAAATTACGAATTAGTGACCATGGTATTTTTATTTGGATAACCCCAAACAAACAAAAAATGACAATAACTGAAGGGAAATAACTCTTAGAATCCTGTTCATGTATTTTCTCAATCCCTTCTCAAAGTTATACAATTTCATCTAGATTTTCTAGCTTGGTTCCCCCTTGTCAGTGGTACAGGACAGAGGGCCTGGCAAGAGACAATGTATAGTCATTCAGATGGGACGAAAAACGATGTCCTGTGTACACATTTGTATGCACATAAAAGAACCATGGCAGTTGGAGTACGATATAAGACTAGGCCATAGTGATACCGTTGGAAAAATTTACCTCATAGCACATGTAAAAGAACCCTTGGCAGTTGGAATTCGATATATCAGTAGCACACTTTATGACGTATGTTGTCTTCATTAGACCAGTTGAAGCAGAACA